TAGAGACCATGGGGCTTACAAGCAAGTTGGACACGACTTAGGGACTAAACAAGAGCAACAACAACATGTAATTAAGCCATCCCACTGTTGAAGCTTAATCCTAGAGAATGAAAACTTTTATGCACATACAAAGTTGTACATGAATTTTTATTACATCTGTTTGTGATAACCTAAACTAGCTGTATCCCAAATGTCCCTTCAGTAGGTGAACGGATAAAGACACCATGGTATAGCCACACAATGGCATTTCACTCAGGAATAAAAAGAAATGTACAAAACACAATAACTTCAACAGATTTCCAGGCCTTTACCCTAACTGAAGAAAGATAAACTCAAAAGGTAACATAGTTTATGATTTTATTTTCATGACATTCTCAACCTGACAAAATTACAGTGATGCAAAGCAGCTAAGAAAAACCCAGGTGCTAAAGTAGGTGGGTGGGTATAACTACTAATGGACAATGACAGGAGGTTTCTTTATGGTGATGGGGTACTTTGTATATCCTGATTGTGCCGAAGTTTACATGATTCTACATGAGATAATGTTTCATAGGAGTATAATTACCTCAACCCCAAAAAACAAGTGCATGTAAAAACTGGTGAAATCTTAATAATGTCTGTTTTTGAGTTAATAATATTGCACTAAAATCAACTTCATGCTTTTGATAATGTATTATGGTTAGGTAGGATATCATTATTGGGGGAAACATGGAGAAGGGAACTTCATGAGTTTTTGTGTTATTTTTACATGTTCTTATGGATCAAACTCTTTCCAAATAAAAATTATAAAATAGAACATCAGTTTAGCAGTCCTTAAAGAAAAACAAAGTTGGAGAATTCATCCTAGACAGTTATCAAGATCTATTTTCAAACCTCTTTATTTTTAAATTAGTAGATCTACAAAAGTTTTTCAAAGATAGTGTATAGTTCCAATGTTCCCTCTTTCTCTTACACTGAGAAAGTGATCTCTATAATCCACTTGCTTATATGTTCTACACTAGTATACATGTAAGTATTCTAACAATTGCTAAGTCATATTTCTATGAGAAGAAATTTACCAACTGGATTACAGTGTTGGTATTCAGTTCTTTTTTATTTTTAGCCTTACAATGTATGGACAAAATTTGACTTCTACAGTTTATTTATTTATATTTTATTTTTTTGTTATTTATTTTTAATTAGAATACAATTGATTTACAATACACTTGCTCCTTGGAAGAAAAGTTATGACCAAACTAGACAGTATATTAAAAAGCAGAGACATTACTTTGCTAACAAAGGTCTGTCTAGTCAAAGTTGTGGTTTTGCCGGTAGTGATGTACAGATATGAGAGTTGGACTACAAAGAAAGCTGAGCACTGAAGAATTGATCCTTTTGAACTGTGGTGTTGGAGAAGATTCTTGAGAGTTGCTTGGACTGCAAGGAGATCCAACCAGTCCATCCTAAAGGAGATCAGTCCTGGGTGTTCATTGGAAGGACTGATGTTGAAGCTGAAACTCCAATACTTTGGCCACCTGATGCACTCTTTTGAAAAGACCCTGATGTTGGGAAAGATTGAAGGCAGGAGGAGAAGGGGATGACAGTGGATGAGATGGCTGAATGGCATCACCGACTCAATGGACATGAGTTTGGGTAGACTCCAGGAGTTGGTGATGGACAGGGAGGCCTGGTGTGCTGCCGTCCATGGGGTCGTTTGCGACAAGACTTGTCCAAGACAAGTTGGACAAGACTGAGCGACTGAACTGAACTGAACTGAACTGACTTACAATGCTTGTTACATGTATGCGGGTTCGATCCCTGGGTCCGGAAGATCCCGTGGAAAAGGAAATGGCAACCCACTCCAGTATTCTTTCCTGGAGGATCCCATGAACAGAGGAGTCTGGCGAGCTATCGTCCATAGTGTCGCATAGAATCAGACACAACTGAAGCGACTTGGCATGCATGCATTGCAATAAAAGGAAAGCAAAAAGAAGTGTTATGAGGAAACAGAGATAGACCTCACATTCAAGGCTATTAGAATGATGGTAAACGTGAGTGGCTGCTGATCCTGGAGTTACTTCACTGTGACAATCTTTTCTTTCTCATCAAAGGGGAAAAGAGAGAACCATTGTGAAGCATACTACCAGAGACAAGACTGAATTGTAACTGAGGGACCATATTCATGAAAGGATCCTATGGAAATAGACTTCCCACCAGTCTCATTTTTCTCTCTTGGTAAACAGAGGTATGGGAGTTTAAAATAGTCTGTAAGTTAAGCAGGAAATGTGTCTCCTCTAAGTAGTCAAGGTCAAAATTTACCCCATCTAGTCAAGGGAAAAAACTATGCCCAAAATTAAATTCAAAGCTTAAAAGAAGCAATGTAGGGCAAAATATTAAAAAATCAAGAAAGCACCTGCACTGTTTTACACATCTGTGTCATTCTAATGCACAAATATCATAGGTGATTTTCTGTTGCCTTGAATTTAAAGCTCATTATTACCCCCAGATAAACTCAATCATCTTTTCCTGAAAAAAAAAAATCATGATTTTTTTGCTGTCAGTTGCCAATAACCATATGTAACAGAGGTGGGTATAGATGTGAGGAAATAGTAAAAAGGTCAGCTGCAAGTGAGTTTTGCACAAATAAGGTATATTTTGTTGAAAGCCTCAAATCTCTGAATACTGCATCCTGGCCACTTTTAACTTAGAGAAATGTGAGGTAGGTGGCTCAGATGGTAAAGATCCGCCTGCAATGTGAGAGACTTGGGTTTGTGGATCCCTGGGCCAGGAAGATCCCCTGGAGAAGGGAATGGCTACCCAGTCCAGCATTCTTGCCTGGAGAATTCCATTGTCAGGGGAGCCTGGAGGGCCACAGTCCATGGGACTGCAGAGTCGAACACGACTGAGTGACTAACATACACACATGAGGTGACACCTGGCTCAGGTCTGCAAAGCTACCACTTCATTTTCATGATCCCAAGTTAACAACTGGCCAAACTGTCACATAATGTCAGTGAAGTCTGGACCCTAAATCATTTTACATGAGTACTGAGATTTATATCTACTACCTTCTTAAACTTCAAAATTGTTCATATACCTACATATGCATAAAATAAACTTAACGGCCTAATTTAAGCAAACAAAACATAATTTGGACCATCCTAGTTGATAAAAGCAATTTAATAAAATAATAATGTTAAGCTATTTGAAATACATTTCTACAATGAATTACCAAACTCTTCTGTATTCTGCTATGTCAGCATTGCCCTACAGTTTATGCTCTCTGATTTATACCTTTTTCTCTTGTTTCCCAGAAGTACAATTTCAATGTCAGGCATGGGTCTCCTTTGTGCCAGCAGGATCTCACTGAAAGTGGTTAGCCTCTCTGAGATTGGCCTGTTTGAAATAAGAATGTCCTCCCTTGACTCAGTTCAGCTCTCTTTTCTCAGCTATCTCTTCTGAATGCTCTGCTCTTTCATAACACACAGATCTCCTCTCAACAGCCCATAGCATACAGGTCTGAGACACTATCTTTCTCATTTGGCTCATATAAAATGTGATCATACACATATAATACAATAAACTGGAATGAAGTTAAGCTTTATCTCCATTACAAATGACTCACCTCTAGCTCTTAATAGTTGGGAGATGTTCTTCATATCATTAATTTCCAGCTGTGTTACCTTGGGGTCAAATGTACCACTCCAACTTTATATTTCTGAGACATGTTAGGGAGAAGAGATGTACATTATAAAATTCATGTAAATAAAAGTAAGATTATAATTTAACTTTAAATAGTTACAGGGAAAATTGTCAGCATCACCGACTCAATGGACATGAGTTTAAGCAAACTCTGGGAAGTAGTGAAGGACAGGGAGGTCTGACGTGCTGCAGTCCATGGGGCCACAAATAAGACAGGACTTAGCAACTGAACAACAACAATATTTGCATTTTGTAGTAAATTTAACCAACAAACACTAGGTTTACAGAAGGTCAAGGGCTCACTGCTAAGATCTCTGTGGTTAAAAGAATGGGGAAGTCATACTATTACTTCCATAAACAAATTTAAACTCTAGTTAGAATAATGAGGTAATCCCAAATATAAAAGAATATGTTTTAAAAAAAAAGAAGTTTGTGATTGAATTTAGAATGCACATTCCAAATGAGATCAAATTGAATTAAACAGGATGATGAATGTAGTAGGTGATAAATTTTAAGATGAATTATAAACTTATAAGACACACAGGTCAGTAAGAAGTAGACATAGAACACAGAAAAGGGGAGGAGTCAAAGGTTTGGTTAGTAAAGAACCTTGACCAGAGGCTGCAGCTCTGGACCAAACTCTAGATATTCTAGATATTGAGAGAGAACTTAGAGGTTTCCAGTTTGAACTCTCATAAAGTAGGAACTGCCCCACTCTGCAATCTCCTAAAACATCACACTGCTTCTCATTAAACTCTAACATTCCACTCCCATAATCACTGAATCAGTCTTGAGACAATACAGCCTACAAGAGATCTGTTCCCTATAAAATGAGCCAAAATTTAGGAGTGAAATGCCTTGAGGTCTTTGGACATATTTTGCCCTTGAGCATCATGTCAGGATTTGAGCTTTATTGACGGCACTTGCTATAAGCATGCATAAATGGAAATTCTATGAAACTGACTAAATGAAAACAAAGAACGTAACCTAATCTGCTCAATCTAACTGGTTTTAATGGTAAAGGATTTGGGAGTTTACTAGAACTGGCTTAAGAAAATAACAAATACAGCCAATAATCTGATGATTATCAAACCAATGGCAAACTCGCACGATAAAAGAGAGATTCCATCAAAAACAGAGCAGTCTCCCAGAAGGGGAAGGCAGATGAAGGAGAGATGCTGGGGCAGCCCACCGCGTGGTCAGGCGGCCGTTGGGTGGACGCCCTGGCCTTGGCGCCTCCGCCCGCTGCGTGGCCACGGGCAAGCTCCGCGCCCACGCAGCGGGTTATCGTGCCCACTCGCATCAACGTGGCTGCTGGCATGCCCAGCGGCAAAGTGAGATACGCAAAGCTCCCCAGTCCCGACGGCGGACATATTAACAGTCAGAAGGAAACTTCACCTGCCAAGAAGATCTTAAAGCCGAAAAGATGCCCAGGTGTCGTAAGACCTCATGTATTGGAGAAAAGCCGTACTGACATTCCTTTTAAGGCCATTGCCTGCGCCTTCTCACAGTTTTTGGTTGGTGCTTTTCTCATTATTACGGGCTGCCTCCTGCTGGCAGGCTGTATCAGCAAAGTGGGCGCCAATGGAGCCTTCCCAGTCCTGACTGTCGGCATCCTGGTGTTCCTCCCGGGGTTTTACTACTTGATCGTCGCCTACAGAGCCTACCGCGGCTGCCCGGGCTGCTCCTTCCGTGACCTTCCGGACTTGGATTACTAGCCCCCACCCAAGCCAGAGGAGTCACAGGTAGGGGTGAGCAGGGTTGAAAGCATTGGACAGAAGCTGTGGAAATCGATGCTTAAGAATTAAGGAAATCTACGGTTTTGCAAATAAATGTCCGGCACAACTATGGCCGGATTTTATAAATCCATCCTCCAAACGTTAATTGAGTTTACAGTTAGCCGACCAAGAAGTTAAGAGAGGACGTGTCCTATTTTTATTTTCCTGGCCCTTGCAGAAGCCCATGACAAATTTTTCCACTTGGATATGTACAGACGAGGAATAGCAATGTTAATTGTGTGAGGAAATGAAAAAAGTTACTCTGTGAAAGCAAAATGTTGCCACCGCCACCTATTTAGAGCTGAATGTTTCTTTTAAATAGTCCTCATGGACAATTTTATTATATCTTGTGGAAAATAGAAAAATGCAATACATTATGTTAAATTTATTACCAAGTGATTTATTTGAAAAGTTTTTATTTTAGCCCTCATATTAATCTCTAACTTTGTATTCTATGAATGATCTTTATAAAACCAAATATCAATTGAGGAAAAATTAAAAGAGCACTACAGCTGTGTTGTATGGAGGCCCTACAAGCTTTAGGGTCACACAGAGCTTGGTTTAAATCCCAGAGGCAACCTTTCCAGCTGTATAAGCTTGGACATATTAATACTCTGAGACACAGTTGGGGGCCATAATTCCTACAGTTTTGGGTTCTCACTTCAGTTCAGTTCAGTTGCTCAGTCGTGTCCGACTCTTTGCGACCCCACGAACCACAGCACACCAGGCCTCCCTGTCCATCACCAACTCCCAAAGTTCACCCAAACCCACGTCCATTGAGTCGGTAATGCCATCCAACCATCTCACCCTCTGTCGTCCCCTTCTCCTCCTGCCCTCAATCTTTCCCAGCATCAGGGTCTTTTCAAATGAGTCAGCTCTTCACATCAGGTGGCCAAAGTATTGGAGTTTCAGCTTCAACATCAGTCCTTCCAATGAACACCCAGGACTGATCTCCTTTAGGATGGACTGGTTGGATCTCCTTGCAGTCCAAGGGACTCTCAAGAGTCTTCTCCAACACCACAGTTCAAAAGCATCAATTCTTCGGCGCTCAGCTTTCTTTATAGTCCAACTCTCGCATCCATACATGACCACTGGGAAAACCATAGCCTTGGCTAGATGGACCTTTGTTGGCAAAGTAATGCCTCTGCTTTTTAATATACTGTCTAGGTTGGTCATAACTTTCCTTCCAAGGAGTAAGCGTCTTTTAATTTCATGGCTGCAATCACCATCTGCAGTGATTTTGGAGCCCAGAAAAATAAAGTCAGCCACTGTTTCCACTGTTTCCCCATCTATTTGCCATGAAGTGATGGGACCGGATGCCATGATCTTAGTTTTGGGTTCTAGTGGGGGTCAAATAAAAAATTCCATATCAACAACATAGCACATATGTGTTTTCAAAAGTATTAATTTCTCACTGTAAAGTAGGGTTCTATAGAAGAATGCACTAAGCCATAAATGAATTACATCTATTCACCTCAAACAGCATAGAAGAGCTGGCCACCAGAGAGAATTAGACTGCTAATCTGCAAAGTTACAAGTTTAAATCCAGACACAGCGTTACTTTTTATTTACATAAAGCGTCTCTTGATTTCTATACAGGAATAAGGCAAATCCAGGCTTTGTGGTGCCTAAATTTTATGTAATTTGGATGGGGGAGTGTCTCTTAAGAAATAGAAAGAAATAGAATGCAAATTTGTGAATTCAGAATTAAGCAGGGGGCTTATCAAGGGGCATATACAAGGGTGGGGCCCTGACCCTGAGTCTCATTAGCTTCCTGATAAATTTGGCTGTTAGAGAAGGTGAAGAAAGGATCTAGAGAAGATGACTGAATATGGAGTCAAGGCTGTGGCTCCAGATTAAAGGTAATATTGAACAAACTAGTAATATTTTCTAGAGAAAAGTATATCATCATATAAAAACAAATACCTTTTGAAGTGTTGTAATAAAGAACATAGATTTGTGAAAGATAAGGAAAGGAGTGTATTTTCTGGACAAAGAATACTGTCAATTCATAAAAAAGAAGGAAGATACTCTCAGATGTGTTACTGTTAGAATAAACAGGATGTACTCAAGTTGATCTTCCATGGGTGATCTTCCATGGGTATTATATTATTGTTCATACCTAGACATATACCTAATGAATGTGAAAAACAAATAAAGCTCTAAATAATAGTTTGATATTTATCAAATTTGTGCTAAATAAACAGGGATAATATGAAATGTAATTTGTTTGGGCTCTGATAGGATCATCATAATCCACTCTCTTATTAGAAACCACAGAATATACAGAAGTGTATTTTGGGAAAGTAACTGGTACAAAGTTCACCACAGCTTCAATATGAGTAATTAATATTAAAGAACAATAAATCTGTGCAACATTAGCTAAGGAGTGCCAACTCATGAAATCAAAGATCCAAATAAAGTCAGTAGTGGTAAACCTTTGTTCAGAGATGAACCTTATCCCAAAGAGCACAGTTAGGCCAGTAAAGACATGCTATGACAGCATGATCATACCACAGAAGATGATACTAGAAATCCAAACATTGTTTTAACTCCACATTGTATGGATAGTATATATGGTAGCTTTATAATTTTAGTTTACATAGTCACATATCTAACAACTCTTCTTGAATTATAACTTATATTTATATGCCTTTTCTTTTGTTATACAGAGTTTAGATAAATTTCCTAGAGCAACATCCTTTTGAAATGACTAGATTTCCAAGCAGTGCCTGACAGCCATTTGATAACAGTTAATTGGCTCACCAAGCCGAGTCATTGGACACAAGAGATGGTGAGAATAAAATGGTAAGAAGATGGTAAGAAGCAAAACCCATCTCCAGACAGAAGAATATTTCTAACATTCTGATAGTAGGAGTTTATCCGTGATTTTGAAACAGAGCACAGTACTTCATTAATTTTTGGAAGAAAGTCTTATTTCTCTGTCCTCCCAAGAGTGTGGGCCACAAACTCATAATTTACTCGGAAGTCTTCTTCCATGGTTTTGAAAGTAGCCTGTTTCACTGTGGATTCCACAAGCTCATTCATCAGCTGCTTTTCAAGAAATTTGTAGAATATGTCATCTTAAAACCCATACTGAATTGAGAATATTACCTGTCAAAATTTTAAACAGACTAGATGCACCTGCCTAGTAAACTTGGGTCCCGTCATCAAGATTTGTGTGGGAGACCCAAAGACAAACACCCTGTGACAGCTTCAAATACATCATTTAAATGAATGTGGAGAAAAAAACAAGACAGTGGTCCTGCTGAACAGGTGCTAGTGGAGCAGTCAAATGAGCTTTTTTCCCATGCCTTCTCGTTCTGCCTTTCCCTCCTCAAAATACTTTAGGAAAGGCTCTATTTGACAAAGTCGTCAAGTTAAAGTATTGGAAAAACAAGAACAGAACAAACAAAAAAGCATAAAACAGGATCACATAGAGCTATACTTGGAGAAAGGAAGTGGGAAGTAGAAGAAAATGTTTCCAGCCTTGAGTAGATCCAGCTCACACTCTAAAATCTTTCAAGTCAGTCATCAATGATTGGGAATTCTTGGGCTCCCTCAAGTTAAGAAAGAATGGTTTGTGCATTTAACAATGAAGTGATATATTCCATTAAAACTGATCAGGATACACATACTTTCTTACACCTTTCCTCTCTTGGGACATGTTTGGGAAAAATTATTCCTAAACAAATGATAATAAATACTTCTAACAATATTTTCTAGTGATTATTGATATATACACTGTTGCTGCTGCTGCTAAGTCACTTCAGTCATGTCCGACTCTGTGCGACCCCACAGACGGCAGCCCACCAGGCTCCCCTGTCCCTGGGATTCTCAGGCAAGAACACTGGAGTGGGTTGCCATTTTCTTCTCCAATGCATGAAAGTGAAAAGTGAAAGTGAAGTCGCTCAGTCGTGTCCGACTCTTTGCGACCCCATGGACTGCAGCCCACCAGGCTCCTCCGTCCATGGGATTTTCCAGGCAAGAGTACTGGAGTGGGTTGCCATTGCCTTCTCCAGATATATACACTAACATGTTTTAAAAATAAAAATAATTATATAACTTACTATATTTCAGATAAGAATCAACAAAGATGAGTAGCATGGATTTCAAAGTCTTCCAGCACATTTAGAAAATATGGGTTCAAAAGTGGGCATGAAAAGTTAGAGGTTTGAAGGTGTTCCACTGGTTATCAACTGCCTTTGTTTTGATCTGCCATTGTTCAGTGAAATGCTACTAAAGCAAAGTAGCAGTTTAGAAAAAGTGAGCTTAATTTCTTTACTAGTCACTGTGTAACAGGGCAGTACATGGGAAATAAAAACAAGAGAGTCTGGACTCTTGGCACTACTGCCAGCCAATAAGGTGCTTTAATCCCAGTATTCTTACACAGCTACATTTAGCTTCTAATTGTAAATGGTTCGTTAGATGTTTGTCTGCTAAGTTATAGAGTATATCACATAGCATGTACATCAGTACAAACTTGTTTTGAATGGCCAAAACACTAGATCATGGTATTTATTTGTATTTGCATCACATTCTCTGTGACATATCAATGTAATTGATAGATTGATATTTTAAGATGGTTGCATTGCTGCTTCTCCATATATAAGTTTAACTGGAAAATGAAGCATTTATAAATACAATTTAATAGAAAATTCTTTGTACAGAATCAGAATATTTCAGGTAAGATATTATTTAACCAACTGACTTGTTCAGTTGCTCAGTTGTATCTGACTCTTTGCGACCTCATGGACTGTTGCACCAGGCTTCCCTGACCTTCACCATCTCCCGGAGCTTGCCTTACTGAGGTTAATTTATAAATATGAGCACAAGCCATCACACCTACACAGCTCAAATAATTTGTCAGTTAAAATATTGTCCCAGATTTTTTAGACATCTTAAAAGTGTGACAATTATAGCAGAATGTCAGCCTTTGTTGTTATTTAGTCACTAAGTCACGTCCGACTCTTTGAGACTCCATGGACTGTAGCCTTTCAGGCTCTTCTCTCCAGGGGATTTTTCAGGGAAGAATACTGGAGTGCGTTGCCATTTTCTTCTCTAGGGGCTCTTCCAAACCCAGGGATTGAACCCTTGTCTTCTGCATCGGCAGGCAGATTCATCAGGGAAGTCACTATCAATCTTGTTAGCTATCACTTGACCATGTAAATAAAAATTTTAAATGTACATAACTTCTGACCCAGAAATTTCACATTTAGAATTTATCACATATATATAAATACATATACACACACCTAATATATACTTTATGATCTGAACAAACACAATTGTGGTAAGATGTTTAGTGTTACACTGCTTCAAATATTAAAAGTTGAACAACTAAGTCTCCATCAATAGCCATTAGGGTTAAATAAATTATAGAACATATTTAATATCAAATATGTTATACACACATATACGTACAAATTTTAGAATGTGTTGAATAATTATTGAATGTAATAAACAGTTCTAGAATAGTGCCTAGCATTATCCCATTTGTTTCTTTACAAAGTACATTCACAAATAGATATATTCCCTCCTAGTTTAATAAAAAAGATAAACTAAACAGTGGCAAAATATTTTTTCTAAGTTCATGCATTTTTATCAATTGGCTTAGAAATATACACTATTACAACATTCATATTTGATTAATGAATTCAAAACTGTATATATATAAATTTTTTACATTATACTGTTTAAATGTTTATTATGAGCACATATTATTTCTGTGTTTGAGAACTACTTTTAAGTACCCTGAATAATGAAATTTTATCCTATCAAAAATAAACTACATGTACTAGATTTGTAATTTGTGTTATTAAAACAATCAGGTGAAAGTACTTTAGAGAATTTCTCCAAATGCTAAATTTAACATAAGATTTATATCTAACTGTATTAAAAATAATGATGTTAATCATAATAAATACCACTATTTGACCACACATCTTGAAATTCTTACCACAACCCTTTATAGATGTTAGTCCCACATTTTTATGGATAAAATCTGAGGCAAGAAGTCTTTAAGAAACTTACCTAGAGTTTATCACATAACTAGTAAGTAGAGAGCCAGGACTGGAATTCACAATTCTATGTGTTTAAGTCCTTGCAAAAAGAAAAAAAGGAATACCAAAGATGGCAGTGGAATCACAACCAAAATCAACAAGTCTATGCCAGAAAATTAAACAGAAAGCTGGACAGCTTTCTAAGTTTAGAGGGCTAACAACATCTTTCAAGTAATAGATTTAATTCATCCTGTTTTTACATAAATACTTGATAGACTTTTATCCCGTGAACAAACCCAAATGCCTCTGCCACTCTTCATCTTAAGAATTGCTAGCATTGTCTAAAATGATAGTAATGACATGGTAGAGAAGGACAGTGGGCAGAATGAAAAGGCATATCTTTAAAATGGAAAGAGTTTGTGAGTATATTATATAAACTATATCCCACATTAGCAAGATAGATTTCAGGGGTTACTCATTGTAAAAAGTATACAGTGGCTCTCAATAAAAAATTTGAGAGCCAGGAGCCTATTTATATAAGAAATTCCCCAAAATAACCTGGTATCAAGTTGGATATTCATTGTCTGCAAGTGTTTCTTTCAGAGTAATTTGATAATTACAAAAGAATTAGAAGCCTCCCTTCAAGAGTTAAAGAGTAATCTGGCCCTAATTTGAGAGTCTGTAACTCATGGGCATTTCTTCAATCACAGAAAGACCTATCACTGTCAGGGAGCAATTGGTTTGTTTCTAAAATCTGAGATAACAGTGAAGTCTGAGTGAGCTAATGTAATAGGCTATTATAAATGTCAGAGGTTATTGAGATGCAATATCAGTTCTTTTTGTCTTTTTTGCATTCTTCCAGTATTTTTATTCTGCAATGAAATTGGTCTACTAAATTGGCAGTTAGTAGAAACAGGAAAGCAAGAGGATGATGATATATCCATTTTTTGTCTACTTGATACTCATTCTCCATACCATGGACAAAGAATAATGATACTAACGAAGTACAAGTACTTAGGGGTGTCAGATTCCTATATATATCAATGGTTTTGTTTGTATTTTAGGCATGTCGGTTACAATTATAAAAGATTTAACAAAGCCAATTCTATCTAATCTACAAGAAACCCACTTTAAATATAAAGACACATATCAGTCAGTTCAGTCGCTCAGTCATGTCCGACTCTTTGCGGCCACGTGGACTGCAGCACACCAGGCCTCCCTGTCCATCACCAACTCCCAGAGCTTACCCAAACTCATGTCCATCCAACCATCTCATCCTGTCGTCCCTTTCTCCTCCTGCCTTCAATCATTTCCAGCATCGGATTTCCCAGTCTTTTCCAATGAGTAAGTTCTTCAAATCAGGTGTCCAGAGTATTGGAGCTTCAGCATCAGTCCTTCCAATGAATATTCAGGACTGATTTCCTTTAGGACTGACTAATTTCAGACAAAGCTAACTTCAGTACCAGGTAACATCAAAATCAGTAACAGCAAAATCAGTATTTAGAGGAAAATTTATAGAAGTGAACACATATATCAGAAAAAAAGTAAGATCTGAGTCATATAAGCTTCAATCATCTAAACTTCCACCTTAGGGAACTAGAAAAAAGGAGCAAATTAAATCCAAAGTAATCAAAAGAAGAGAAATAATATAAATTAGAGCAGAAATTAATGAAATTGAAAACAGAAAATTAACAAGACCAAAAACTATTTCTATGAAAGGGTCAATCAATTAATCAGCCTCTAGCAAGGTTAAGTAAAAGAAAAAAAAGGAGAGAAGTTGCAATTACTAGTTCAAAAATTAAAGACATAGTACCACTAGTGGTCCCATAGACATTAAAAGGATAATAAAAGATTCTATGAAGAAGTCTAGGTTTCTAAGTTTGATAACTTAGGTAAAATGGACTGATTCCTTGAAAAAAGCAGTCTGCCAAAACATACATAGACTCATATATATAGGCAATTTCCTCATATATATGTGTGTGTGTGAATCAATTGAATCAATAATTAATAATCCCCAAAGATTAATAATAATTAATAAATTAATACATAATTGGTAACCTTCAAAAATACATCCAGATGGGTTCACAGGTGAATTCTACCAATTCTCTACAATCTCGTCTAGAAAATAGAACTACAGAAGATACTTTCTGATTCATTCTATGAAGCTAGAATTACTCTAATAACAAAACCAGACAGACATTACAAGAAAAGTAAACTACAGACAAACACTTCTTGAGAATACAGATGCAAGAAACTGTTCCTTATCCTTTTCTCCTGGTCTTACTATCCTGCTCTGGCTTGTCAGTCCAAGAAAAAAGCCTCCATCACTTCTTGCCAGCTTCAAGGGCGGAGAGAATAGAACTATGAAGGGGAATAAAATGCTATCCCCCCTTCAATCCTTGTACCAATTACAAAAAAAAATCTCCAATTTATAATTCTAGTTTTTCATTTTGTTTTTTGAATCTATTCTAAGAGTTCTAGTCTGAGGCCTTTGACTTCAAGGAGTCCCTGAACCAGAAGAAATTACCTGCAACATTCTGTGTGTGCACATCGATGAACATTTTGGGAGAGGTAAAGATCCACAGCTTTGAACAAAGTTCTGTGCTTTTTAACCTCCACTAAACTCGGGGTGGGTGGTGGTAAATATGATGCTCTTTCATGAAGTTAGAATTTATGGCCAACAAATTGTTATTTAGAAGCTATATCAAGGATTAATTGGCTTGTTTTAAAAGAGAGATACAGAACAGATTAACATGAAAGACTTTAATTGATTTACAGTTTTTAGTCAAGGCCAGATATGTATGATTCCGTCCTCTATACATTCTTTTTGTTGGAGATGGAATAATATGAATTAATAGTCATAATCATGACCTTAGATACTGCAAAATTATGAAATCATAGGTGTATTATCAAAGAAAGATTACATTATACTAATATAGTTCTAGGGTTAATTTGAATTTCAGTTATTAGAAAACAGGTAACCCATGAATTATCTATTTACATAGGGTAACCTTCTCATCGTCTTCTCCTTGAAGGTAATTTTCTGCCTACTTATCTGGCAGATTCCACAGGAGGGAGAAGAGGAAAATCAGGACTCCCTTGTTTATTGTCTAAACGTCGCTGGTTTGGTTGGCACAGACGAGACACCTTTGATTTCTGAGTTTTGGACTCTGATGTTCTGCACACTGGAGTCTCCTTGTCACTGAACCTCCAGATTTCCAAGATCTTCACCTCGCCCTACCCTCGTCAGTCTCTTCTCCGTTACACACACACACACACACACACACACACACTCGCAAACACACACAAGCTCTGTAAATGCATCCTCCCCCTCCCCCATTAATGCAAGACTCACCCCTCAACGCGCAACTTGAATCAAAATATTAGTCTCAGACCCTGCAAGTTCCCCCGGGGCTGCTCCTCTGCGTCGGCCCCGTTCTCAGGTTTCCAGGCGGGCCTGATGGACGGCAGATTAGATTGGCTGAGCTATTAGAGGAGCAGAGCCTCCGCCAAATCACAAATCCAGGATTTACCTCTTTCTCGGTCTCCTCCCTAGACTCCTGGCAACAGGCGTGCGTTGTTTCCCTTAGGGGGAACCCAGCCTGGGGTTGCTATGGAGACATGACGCTGCGACTTGCAGAGCTGCTAGGACCCAGATACCGCCTTGCAAACCTAAGCAAAGCCAGTGCCCTGCGTTGCTACCTTCCATATCTGCACGCCCTCTTCATCCAAAACTTTTTTTTCTCTTGACTCCTTCCATGGAAGACTCCGTCCCCGTCAACCAAAAAATAGAACACCAAGAACTTGGGGAAACAGGGCGGCCGTGGGAAGAAACGGTAACTACTTCCCAAAAGCCTGAGCTTGGGCTATCCGAGGCCCTAGAGTTGGAGCAGACGCCAGGAACTGGACTCCAGCCCAGGAGCAGCCCTCCTGGGACGCCCCGCTCTGGAGCCGGAACGCGGGATCGACCTGTGGATGACCTCGTAGGACAGCGCTCATCGTTTCCACCTTCCTCATCTCAGGAGCTCCCTTCCACTCTTTCTCCCCTGGCTCTGGCCAGGCAGGACTTTATGGCACCATCGCAGTCAGACAAGACCACTAGTGTTACTTCTGAAGCTGAGACATCTCATTTTGGCCATTTGGAACAATTATCTGATAAAGGCGGATCAACTCCTCATCAAATATGTCAATCAGAGGGAAACACCTTTCATCAACCTCAGCAAACCAAATATCCCCTGCATGACCTGAGGGATGTGAGCCACACCACCTCTAAACAGAAAGAGCTGAGATTTGACATTTTTCAAGAAGACGACTCAAACAATAACTATCATCTGGATCAGCCTGAGTCTGGGGCTTCTGAAGTGGCCCCCAGCATGCTTGAGATTGCCATTCAGAATACTAAGGCTTACCTACTGAAGACCAGTAGCAAGTCGGGCTTAAATCTGTAAGTCTTGGAGGAAAAGAGAGAGGAAATGTGGCAAAGGGAGGGGGTATGATTATCTCTGTGTGAGGATGTGCTTCTGTAGGTGAATGAAAATATATCTGAAAAGTCTGGGTTAGTGAGAGAGTGACTTCATAACTCTTTGAATTGTAGGACTCAAGACAGGTCACTGGTGGAGTTTCTTTTAGCTTCTTTAAAGATCCTAGATACACAGAAATAAAATCTTGGAATTATGGAATCTGGGGTTTGAAAGAAACCAAAAAGTATCTCTCCGGGATGCTTGTTAAAAAGGACTGTCTACCAAAATCTAAGCATTCTCAGTGCTTGAATGGCGTGGTTTCAAGTCCCTACCCAGGCCAGTGTTGGAGTGATAAACTGCCTGCTTCACCTGGGACTGTCCTGACTAGGCATGGCATCCCGAGGAACTTCTCAGTCCAAGGCAAATTAGGAGAATTCCTTGCTATACAGGCCACCCCAAGTACATGCCATTTTATCCAGATCTCTTTTAAAATGTGGCAACCAATGACCCAGGAATTTTTCTGACCATCCTATTATAGCTAAGATTCAGGTCTCATCATTGAGTCAAGATTTCTAGAGGTTCTTGCTTCCAGGGTTACATAATCATAGGGTCAACAAAATTATAGGGCTAGAAGGGACTTGAGAAAATGTCTAATATAATCCGCTTGTTTGTTAAATGAAGGGACTAAGTCATGGAAAAATTAATTTGCGCAACATTTCTCTGGCTACAACATTGTCTGACTCTTAGCTTTCCTCCATCGCTATGCTCCAACCACTTGGCCTCGTCAGTTCGAGTGTTGCTCCCTTGGCCCAGACGGCTTCTTCCCTAAGTCCTCCTTAGTCTTTGCTGGCTGTCTTCACATCTTTTAGGAATCAGCTTCCATAGAACTCTATTATAACTGCCTGCTCTTTCTTTCATAGTACTTGAGGTCATTTATAATTGTATAGAGACTTACAGACTTATATTTAATGTTTGACTCTCCCTCTAAAGTGCAGGTCCCCAGAGTACAGGGACCGTTTGGGTGTTGAATACCACTATATATTTAATGCCTAGCACAGTGCTATCAGCTGTTTACTGAATAAAGAGTTAATTAATTACTGGCAGCACAGGAGACACAGTCTAGACCTTTTGAATCTAGCTATTCCTCACCATGGGGGCTTCTTTGATGATTCAGCGGTAAACGACTCGTCTGCCAATGCCGGAGATGCAGGTTCAATTCCTGGGTTGGGATCCCCTGGAGGTGCCCTGGAGAAGGAAATGACAACCCACTCCAGTATTCTTGCCTGGTAAATCCCATGGTCAGAAGGAGCCTGGCGGGCTACAGACCATGGGGTCGCAACAGAGTTGAACACAACTTAGTGACTGAACAATGACAACAATCCTCAAAACAATTTGCTGAGCTGTCTCCTGATTAGGCAGCAAACATTAAATGAATGCCATTCAATATACCTATGTGGCAAAGCTATTACTTGGCTTTTAAAAATATGAAGTATAATCTTAAGGTCTGAGGAATAAGATATCAATTAATATTTAATGTGAGAGGTCTTCACAGAACCCAAATTAAATATTATTTATAAATTACTGTTTCTAACTACAATTTACTTAAACTTCAGGGATGTGATTTGCTGGATTCTACTTGAATTACTGATAAAAACTTCTTGTCACAATTCCCTGGGTAAATAATAAGCAAGTATTTACAAACTTTGATAAAATGTCAAAAAAGCTCATTATAAATATTTGAAAGTTCACAATTTAAAACTGAATACAAAACATAAAATGGGAAAATTTCTTTTACTGAATTATTTTATAGCTGACATTACTTAAATAGCCAAATTTAATTTAGTGTCCAAATGCTAAGTCTCTGAGGTAATAAATGAATACCATCCATCAGTTCAGTCTACTCAGTCATGTCCGACTCTTTGCGACCCCATGAACCACAGCACTCCAGGCCTCCCTGTCCATCACCAACTCCCTGAGTCCACCCAAACCCATGTCCATTGAGTCAGTGATGACATCCAACCATCTCATCCTCTGTCGTCCCCTTCTCCTCCTGCCTTCAGTCTTTCCCAGCATCAGGGTCTTTTCAAATGAGTCAGCTCTTCATATCAGGTGGCCAAAGTATTGGAGTTTCAGCTTCAACATCAGTCCTTCCAATGAACACCCAGGACTGAATACCATCCATAATATTCACTATTACTTTCTAAGTGCTTTATAGCCTGTAATTTAAAATGGCTCATTAAAGATGAACTAAACTCCATATCTTATACACAGCTCTTATTTGACAACCTTGAAAGCTATTTTTTTAATTGCCGTTAAAACAATTTTGACTAAAATACAAAATTGGTTTTCATATTGTTGAATAAAAAGCCTGCAAAAAAAGACTGCTTTCTTCTTTTCTGTCAGTCATAACATTTCTGTTCATTTATATAAAAATAGCAATTTTTGGAGAATAAAATATTCTTCATATATAATATTTGCAAACTGTCCTTCACATTGGTTGTGCATATAATTTGCCTATTTTTCTTTGATGTTCTTAAGATCCATTAGATAAATACAGATATTAAAGAGAGAATTAAATGACTAGGGCAGGTTAAAGATAGTAGGGATTTATTGAACACCCATTTTGTTTCACTATAATAAGGAAGGAGATATATTAAAACAATAAACAAAAACCTAATTTCAGCCCTGGAAGAACCTACTGCAGTTGCTGAATGAGAAATATATAATGTACACAATTACACCACAGTGTTTCAGAAAGGCCCAGTCCACACTGAGGAAGAAGAGTTTCAGGGATAATCTGAGTGGTAAGACTTTGAGGATTAAGTGTATTTTAAATCATTTCTTGAGAAAAATATGTATAGGGCACAGCAAGCAAAGGATCTCAAGTCATACAGCAACAAGACGAAAGGGCTATTTGGTAGATTTCCCTTGCTGGGTAGACATACTAACTGAACTAATTATTAGAAATGAAAGAAGAGGTACAGTGCTTATCCACCAGAGAGGTAATTTATGCAAGACAGGTAACTTATGTCCTCACACTGGTCAGAGGAATTTCTATCTCGCCTGAGAGCAGTTTGACAGGCATTTTGGATCTTCAGTAGTGAATTTCACATTGTAAAACTGGTATCTTAAAAAGCACCTCCTAGCACTTCTGTGTAAAATGTAATGAATTAATGAGAGATTAGAGATTAATTAATGAATCAATAGAGAGGTTAGAGGTAGCTTCACTAACTCAGTTATGAAATAGAAAGTTACAGCAGTGGTTTTAACAGAAAAAGACAAAAAATATTAGACTGCATCACATTTTAATAAACGTGAGTAACATCAGATGACATTTTTCTCTCCATTTGTGTGTGGGGGGTGGGTTGGGGTTGCAATATGAAATGTATTTCTTGTAGGTCTAAAAACAATGAAGTATATAACTGGCTTAGGAAATGTGTAAAAATAGAACTGATCTTAAGAGAGTCAGCTGGATTTAAAAATCGAGTTGGATTTAATGAGGGGTAGGAAAGGGGGATGGAAAAGAAGTTATGTTAAAAGAATGAAAAATAAGCTTAGTCACTTTTAAATATAAAACTGAGAGATTTTGATCTGAAATAAAAAGTGAAAAATGTAGCTGATGTAGAACATGTATCTTGCTGTAATGCATTTGTCTTTAATAAGTTAAACATTCATATCATATTGAAGGGATTTCTTAAAAAGTTCTAGGATATGTTATTCTTGGCAGTGGTAAAAGTTACTGAGTTTTTCCACTAAAAATCTCTCAAGTCTTCAGGTTGTTGAAGTTTCCTAAAAACCCACTGAATATGTATGAAATATTTCTTCAAATGCTTTAGATAGGGATATTATCTGGAATTTTCTCTTTTGGGTAGATATGATCATCTTTCTGAAATGCTGACCAAGGTCTTAGATCAGCGTCCTGAAAATGCTGTGGACATCATTGAAAATATTAGCCAAGATGTCAAGATGGAACATTTTAGTAAAAAATTAGATACACTCCAAAATGAGAATGAGATGCTTGCAACCTATGAAATAGCAGAGAAGCAGAAAATTCTTTTTCTTCAGGGAAATTTAGAAGGATCTGACCAAGAGCTGGAAGATGAAATAGTAAGTCACTCTTGTAAATCTGAATAGGTCAATCTTATGGGTTTTTTGAGGTGAATGGGGTGTGGCTTTAAATTCATACCCACTGCCTTTTTATAGCTTATTAAATAGTATTTGCAACCTCATTTCACACCACTCATTTCCTTGGTTAGCGTTTCTTATGTTTTCACACTGTGTTTTAGTATTTCACAGATTTAGCTATTTTATGTTTGTGGGGCTAAACTCCTTGGTATCAGTGGAAATGTTTCCTTCATCTTTCATATTTTCCAAAATGCCTGAGACAGCCTGAGTGCATAACTGTTTCTTATTGAGTATTTGTTGAATGAATGAATAAATGGCACATAAAATAAAATTTGGCTTTCAATCAAGATGCATATTTTCCCCTTTATTTACTGGAAAAATTAAAAGAGCTTCTAATGTCATTTGCATTTTCTTCCAAGGCTATTTCTTCATATTGCACCTTGACAGTATGTATATTATGTCAATCAGACATAATAGGAGAGAAATAAAATATTTCTTTTAATCCCCAAAGATAAATTGTTGAAAATATTTACAGAGAAAGTTTGTGACAGAGATTAAAAGCTATCATTCAAGAATAAAATCAGCTCTATTACAGAAATTTTACCTTCAAATATTTCAAATCAGTATCCGCTTTGCTTCCTAAAAGCCTGCATATTTGCAATTTATTCTACTGAGTAATTTATACTGTACATCTACTGAGCTTCTATGTTCCATTACTGTTAGGCTATTGAAAACCGTCTACATACTTGCAAATTTGATGTTTGGAGTAAGATATGTTCAAAAAAGGACACAGAGTTCAGTCAAGGATAGATAGGAGGGGTAGGGATATACAAGGTGGAACTAATGGTAAAGAACCCGCCTGCCAGTGCAGGAGACCTAAGAGACACGAGTTAGATATCTGGGTCGGGAAGATCTCCTGGAGGAGGGCATGGCAACCCACTCCAGTATTCTTGCCTGGAGAATCCCCATGGACAGAGGAGCCTGGAGGACTGCAGTCCACAGGGTCTCAAAGAGTTGGACATGACTGAAGCAACTTAGTAAACACACACACAAACCCTCTAGAGCTCTGTAGCCTTCATAAGGAGACACAAATGGCATAGTGAGATATAGAATAGTCAGAAGGGACAAGTGATAGGTGTCAAGGACTTGACATTAGCTGATCTTTTCTAAAAATATCTTACTCCAAACACTTGGTTATGTAGCTGTATATAGTATTGACAAGACTGGGGACAAACAGCATGTGGGGATCAAATATTTGTTATTTTTGCTTTTATTTCTTTTGCCTTGGGAGACTGATCTGAGCAAATATTGCTATGATTTATGTCGAAAAATGTTTTGCCTATGTTTTGTTCTAGGAGTTTTATGGTGTCATGACTCATATGTAGGCTGTTAAGCCATTTTGAGTTTATTTTTGTAGATGGTGTGAGGGAATGTTCTAATGTCACTTATTTGTATGTAGCTGTCCAGCTTTACCAAAACCACTTGCTGAAGATAGTCCTTTCTCCACTGTACACTGTTGTTGCCTCCTTCGTTGTACATTAATTGACCACAGGTACACAGGTTTATTTCTAGGCGCTCTATTCTGTTTCATTGATCTATATATCTATTTTTGTGCCAATACCATGCTGTTTTGATTATAGTAGCATTTGTAATATTGTCTGAGGTCTGGGAGGGTTATACCTCCAGCTTCTTTTTCCCCTCAGGATTGCTTTGTCTATTCTGGGTCTTTCGTAGCTCCAAATAAATTTTAGTATTAACTGTTCTAGTTCTATGAAAAAGGTCATTTTTATAGGGATTGCATTAAGTCTTTGGGTTATAAGCAGTTCTCTTATGGATAAAATATTAATCGCAGTGCTTGTATTCCCAGGCAGAACACGCTCTTCCAAACATAATGGAATCAGCTTTTTATTTTGAACAAGCTGGAGTTGGTTTGGGCACAGATGAGACTTACCGCATATTTCTTGCCCTCAAGCAGCTTACTGACACCCACCCAATCCAAAAATGTCGTTTCTGGGGCAAGATCTTAGGTCTGGAAATGAATTATATTGTAGCTGAAGTAGAATTCCGTGAGGGAGAAGATGAAGAGGAGGTGGAAGAGGAAGACGTACCTGAAGAGAGGGACAATGGAGATAGTGAAGCTGATGAAGACGATGAAGATGAATTACCAAGGCCCTTTTACAGGGCCCCACAGGCTATTCCAAAAGAAGAAAGCAGAACAGGTGCCAACAAATATGTTTATTTTGTTTGCAATGAACCAGGAAGACCATGGGTGAAGTTACCAGCAGTGACACCTGCACAAATTGTTATTGCAAGAAAAATCAAGAAGTTTTTCACTGGGCGATTGGATACCCCTATTATAAGCTACCCACCCTTCCCAGGAAATGAGAGTAATTACTTACGAGCACAAATTGCCAGAATTTCAGCAGGGACCCATGTCAGCCCTCTAGGATTCTATCATTTTGGTGAAGAAGAAGGAGAAGAGGAAGAAGAAATAGAAAGTGGGAGAGATAGCTTTGAAGAAAACCCTGATTTTGAAGGCGTCCAAGTGATTGATCTAGTGGAATCCCTATCCAATTGGGTTCATCATGTACAACATATCCTCCCTCAGGTAGGGGTTTTGCAATTCTCAGCCTATCAGTTAGTCAATAAATATTTATTAAATTCTGTCTATAATGCACACAGTATATTCAAGACAAAGGCCTTCAGACTGTAGACAAAGACGGAGACAATGAAAAAATCTAAACACAAAATGGTATGTAATTGTCAAGTAGTTTAGACCCAGGATCTTCAAACAGATTTTATTTCCAAATGGAAGTAAATAAATAATATTTATTATAAATTATAATAAATAAATAAATAAATAATAAATTATATTTATAAATAAATAAATAAATTTATAAATAAATTTATTTAAAATAAATAAATAAGTTTATAAATAAATTATATTTATTTATAAATAAATAAATAAATAAATTTCAAATTTTATTTGAGCTTCCCTCGTGGCTCAGATGGTAAAGAATCTGCCCACAATGCGGGAGACCTGGATTTGATCCCTGAGTTGGGAAGATCCCCTGGAGGAGGGAATGGCAACCCACTCCAATGTTCTTGCCTGGAGAACCCCCATGGACAGAGGAGCCTGGTGGGCTACAGTCCAGGGGGTTGCTAAAAGTCAGACACAACTGAGCGACTAAGCACACACATGGAGTATTTGGCAAATTATGGAAGAATTTAGGTTTAAACGTGTTGTGAAATTATTTTTATATGTTAAATATAAATGGGTACATTAATTTTGGAAAGGGTTCTTTTATTCTATTTTTATTAGCCAAGGAACTTTTTTTGCATGAACAATACAAGATTTTAACAAAAACAAGTTAAGTGTCATATAGTAGTTAAATAGAATCTATTCTGCCAGTTTTTAATAGCACTTTATATATAGTAGCTCATTTAAAACTCACACCTGTATAAAAGACTAATATCCTTATTGAACAGATGAGGAAATTGGGCAGAAAGTTTAGGAAATGTCACAAGGGAAACATATCTAATAAGTTTCGGATGTGAATGAACAGAATGGATCCAGAGTCCACACTCTTAACAATCCATTAAACAGTCTCATTGGCAGGTAGAATATCTTCACTATACTTTGATGTAGATGAGAGATAGTCTTAAATATCTCTAGATGAGTTAATTAAATGAGAAATAATAACCTCAAAACTTCATACCTAATCTTATTATCACATTGTTGCTATTAATAATAATAGTAACTTACCGTCATATAAATTAGTAAAATGCATTATTACCTTTTTCACTAAGGTTTGAATAATTTTAACATGTAAATACCCTGTAACAATATTTTGCTTGAAATAACATAGATCAAGACAGCATTTGGTAAATATACATTGAATGAATGAATGATCAATATGCCACACAGTGGAACACCATGCAGATACTTACTTCAATCCAAAGGAATATTCTGGCATTTTAAGGTCCTCATTAGACCACTAGATCTTGCAGTATTTTTACCCAGGGTCGCTGTAATTGGTTCAACCCCATACAAAAAAGTGAGGAGGAAGAGGAAGAAGAAGATGAAGAAAAAGAAGAAGAAAAAGGAGAAGAGCCTGACGACATAGAGCAGGAAGTGGGGCCTCCACTCTTGACACCAATCTCTGAAGATTTAGGTAATTTTACATATCCTCCATATGTATGTGTGTCCATATATGTATATATATATATGTGTGTGTGTGTGTGTATACAGGCATACATAAATATTTACATATGTATATACGAGCATGAAAGTCAAAGTGAAGTCGCTCAGTTGTGTCTGACTCTTTGCAACCCCATGGACTGTAGTCTACCAGGCTCCTCTGTCCATGGGATACTGGAGTGGATTGCCATTTCCTTCTCCAGGGGATCTTCCCGACCCAGGGATCAAACCCCGGTCTCCCTCATTGCATGCAGACGCTTTACCCTCTGAGCCACCAGGGAAGCCCATATAGAAACATACCTTGGAGATATTGTAAGACAGATTCCAGACCACTGCAGAAAATGTGAATATTACAGTAAAATGAGTCAATTTTTTGGTTTCCCAGTGCACATAAAAATTATGTTTACACTCTACTGCAGTCTATTAAGTGTACAATAACATAATATCTAAAAAATGTACATGCCTTAATTAGAAAATACTATATTGTGGGGGGATGAGAGAATTAGGTGAGGGAGATTAGGAGAGACAGATTTCCAGTTACAAGATACATCACTCATGGCTATGAAATGTAGAGTGTGGGGAATGTAGTCCAAATAACATAAGATCTTGGCATGGTGACATGCTACATGCTAAGTTGCTCAGTTGTGTCCGACTCTTTGTGACCCCTTGGACTGCTGCCCACCAGGCTTCTCTGACCATGAGGATTCTCCAGGCAGGAATTACTGGAGTGGGTAGCCATGCCCTCCTCCAGAGGATCTTCCTGACCCAGGCATCAAACCAGGGTCTCCTATATTGCAGGCGGATTCTTTACTGACTGAGCTATGAGGGAAACCTATATATTAATATATACACAGGTATTTCTTGCTTTTCAAAAAATCACTTTACAACACTTTGCTTTTATGAGAGAACTACATCAGTACCAATTTACACTGATATAATTTTTTTTTAAAGGCAAAACAAAAGTAATGTTCAGCACTTTTGCTGTGAGCAGTTATAGGGCCCCACACACTTCAGGCTGTCAGAGCGACACCTCCAAGTTTCTTCCCCAGGAACCACACTCAGCATCAAGTTGTCATAGCTTTGAATTGTGTTTGGAGCTTCTGTGCTTTATCTCAGTTAATCTTGGCAATCTATTATCAAGATGTGTCCTAAGGTAATTGCTTCTTTGCTCTATGCCATTTCGGCTTACGAAAGGTTTCATAGGAGCGCTCTACTTTTGCATAGTGGGGGAAGGCTTTACACACACACACACACACACACACACACACACACACACACATACACACACTGTAGTTAATGGTGGTAGTAAAGAATGTAATGCGGCCAGCCCCACAAAGAACTTTCGAGGACAGAGGTTGCAGGAGTGTATTGCAGAGGGAAAACATAAGTTGGCTCTCTTACTAGAAATGCTGACAGTTATCTTTTTTTTTAAATAATATTTGTTCTGCATTCTGCAGATCATAAACACATGACATAGAGTAAAATATCATGGAGTACTATTTTTTTTCCAATATACTATTGTTCTCATATTCTTCTTTTCTTCCTATTCAGTTTTGGAGTGTTCACACTCCAAACTCTAGCTCTCTTTCACAATAATGATTTGGTCATCACATATTTTTCCCCCTACCACACAGGCCTCCTCTCCGTTGGTAAAACTTATTTTCTCTGTTGTTCAAATGTACACAGATATATAAACACAAATATATATAAACACACATTTTTTTCAAATTTCATTGTTCCACAATGTTCATATAATACCCTCCTGATCCTATGTTAAACAGATGTTTTAACTTTTCTATGTCAAGTGTGTGTGTGTTTTAAGGTTTATAAATATAGCTTTTCTGTGACACAGTATATGCTTGTCTATTTAGGAGTTAAATCTATTTTGAATTTCTCTGGTTTACAGAGATCCAGAATACATCGCCTTGGACAACACGGTTATCCTCAAATCTCATTCCTCAATATGCGATTGCAGTCCTTAGATCCAACCTTTGGCCTGGAGCATATGCCTTTTCCAATGGCAAGTAAGTATGTGCCCACTTGTAAGGCTCTTACTTTGATGATTTAACTTCTGGAAATTATAAGTTATCACTGGAATGGTAAGTTACTACTGTTTTAACTCTTCTTTGGCATGTCAAGTCTGTAATGGCATAAGATGAATTCAAACAACATCCATCTTATACACCAAAGCATCAAATTCAGAATATTAGAGTAATTCTGACTTCTGCATTTTCATCTGAATTATCCAATTAATGGAGCTAAAATGTGTTTTATTCTACGGTTATCTGAGTAATCGATAATCATTTCATGGAGGTAATTCTAAGCAGTGTTAAAATGAGTCTTATCATTTTTGTTAGATATCTTGAGAAAAGATAATTTAAAATATGTATGATTTAGGCTATCACTTTCAAGAGAATTAGGATAAGAGGATAGTCAATGTACTTTAGTCCCCCAGAGCATATACCGCCATTTGTCTTATGCTTCCATTTCTTACTTAATAACCTAAGGTCAGAAGCTTGGCTGACCTGGAGAACTGAGTGGTCAAATGTCAGAGTAGCCATGAGATCAACAAGCCAAAAATGAAAGTGTTTTCAAGCCTTTAATCACTTACTGTGATAGCATAAGCAAGTTGAAGCACTGATTCTACTTGCTGTCCACCACCTCATTCCATTTGCCCACATGGAATGCCACACTGGTGGAAAGTCAGATGGGTCAGCACAGTTGTGAGGTCATCCCACTGACAAGGAAGTCCTCAACATAAGGCTCTTGCAGTTGTATGGACCTGTGACCAGAGGAAGGTGGGGAGGGCTAGGAAAAAGGACTGGGTACTGGGGCTTCCCTGGTGGTTCAGCGGTTAAGACTCTGAGCTTCCACTCCAGGGGATGCAGATTCAATCGCTGGTGGAGGAACTAGATCCCACATGCCATAATGCCAAAAATCAAAAACAAGACCAAAAAACTACTGGGTACTGAGGCAGAGTAGGTGGGAGCATCTATAAGGTCTCCTCTTCTCTTTCTCAACCCGCATTAGGAAGCCTTGGCAGAGGGGCCTGAAGACTTCTGCTGAAGGCCCCAGATGAAGAGGCTTGGGAATAAAGGCACCTGGGCCAGAAACACAGTTCTATCAAGAGCATGACAGGCCAGAGGGGCCAGAGTCCTTGCCCACAACCCCTCTGAGACTGCAGTGCCCTGGCTGTGCACCAAGTCTGGTGTGGAGAGAGCAGTTTTCTCCATGAGGTCTACCAGGGGAAGCTTTTGTGATTGCCCAAGGTTGGGCCTGAAAAATCACACATAGGTTTCTAACCACAGGCCCAACTCCTCATGCAGCCGTTTGCTGGATTGGCAACTTCTGAATTCTTCCTAACTCTAAGGAATGTATGCAACTTTTAACTTTGTTGTTTTGTTTTTCTGAAAATAATTAAAAGATCAAAGGCTGTGGTCCAGGTGTAGGGTACATTTTGACAGGGTCTGGCTCTATGTTTTCTTAACCAGCTTGAGCAGTTTGGGTCATAGTAGCCCCCTGTGGGCTTCCCAGGTTGTGCGTGGTAAAGAATCTACCTGCCAATGCAGGAGATGTGAGAGATGTGGGTTCAATCCCTGGGTTGGGAAGATCCCCTGGAAGAGGTAATGGCAACCAGCTCCAGTATTCTTGCCTGTGAAATCCCATGGACAGAAAGGAACCTGGCGGGCTGCAGTACACGGGGTCGCAAAGAGTCGGACACAACTGAGCACAAACACACACAAGTCCCTGTCATAGAAGAATCATGTAGGGATATTTCATCTCTAATGCATTTTAAATATACTGTACTGTTTTAACATTATGGGACTATGATACTCTTAAGTACTTTATTCTTACAGAAAAGGATAAGTTTTTCTTACTGAAAAATTATACGATCTACATTTTTTTTTTAACTTACAGAAAGTTTGAAAATCTCTACATAGGCTGGGGTCATAAATATAGTCCAGACAGCTATACACCTCCAGTTCCACCACCAGTTTATCAAGAGTACCCCAGTGGAACAGAAATTACAGAAATGGATGACCCTACTGTGGAAGAGGAGCAGGCTTTCAGGGCTGCGCAAGAAGCAGCAGCAGATTCAACAGAGGAGAATGAAGAAACTGAGGAAGAGGAAGATGAGGAAGATGATTATGACTAATACAAGTAGAATTAGCCCCGTCTTATGAGACTGATACACTCATACTCCTTATTTGGGACTGACTTATATATATAAATTACAACTATTCATGTGTAAAATATCATTCCCTGAAAATAAAAATTTGGAATTTCACATTTGGAACTATTAATATGTACTTTTAGAAAGAAGCTCGACAGATTTTTCAGAGGCTAAATGACATTTTCTTAATTACTGCCAATTTGTGATATTGTTGCAAATACTGTATGTATATACATCTATCTGTATATACATATATATTCCCCCCAAGCCTCTATGTGGAGAGGGTATACAATTCCATTACCTGCTCCAAGACTGTAGGAACATTCAAATTTTTTAGCTTTTACCTGTTACTTCTTAAAGAAATTTCTCAATTTACCTCTTCTTTCATCCTATAGAAATTGGTTTTATCTGATTTGGGGGAAAATTATTTGCATAGATGGCTAGCTGGGACATCCAAAAACTTCAGAATGATATTTTGTTATCACTGCTTTTCTAAAACTAGTTATTTTTATTCACTAAAAAAAGTATTTTTAAGTCCTATATCCCTGGCACTCCAAGGCTACTGTTAAAAACTAGACATTGCTTCAGAAACCTTAGGAGCTTACATTCAAGGAGGGAAATATTTTGTGATACAAATATTATGCCATAGTACAGTGTTTGTCAAGCCCTATGGTGAAGGACCAATTAAAAAATAAAAACAAAAAACCTTTCTACTCCATGGTTGTTATCTGTGTAAAATAAAAGTATCAGTAATTGTAGTTTCTGTAATTTTGTCACAGACTGGCAATTTGCAGTTCAGTGATCTTACCTTCGAGCAACATTGCTTATCAAACCCTTACAAGGTGTATTTAATCCAAACTTGAGCAGTTCAGGAAGCCCTTCTAAGAGGAGAACTAAGGGGGAAAGGGTCCTAGGCAGCGCCAGCTGTATTTTGGCAAAGGACTCTAGGCTGAAAGGAGTGAAACTTTGAGCATGGTGAGAGATGAAACTGAAGAGGTAAGTAGAGCCCAGATTGTGTAGGACGTTTGGATTTTAACCATGAGCAATGAGCGGGACTCAACTAGGCAGTCACAAAATCGTATTTGTATTTTAGAACAATTTGGCTTCTGTGTGGAAGATGGACTGACAGAGGATCAAGACAAACAGACCAGTTAGGATATTACACTGTCTAGGTAAGAGATAAAGATGGCATGAAGCACCATAACTGCATGGGGATATAGAGTGGAAACCTGTTTACCAGTCTGAATGACAGTATTAGAAAGGAGGTTTTCTATAATTTTCCAACTGGCAACACTTATTCATGCCAGGAGTGCAGCACTTAGTATTTAATACAATAGATAATATTCATAGAACTTCATTCAAGTAAGTTCTTGTTCACTTTTTAATGGGGTAGCAGCCCCTTACTGCTTCTCCTTTTTAATATCTCTTTTTTCATCTACCCAGATTTCTTTTTGAGAAAGTGCCTCTGACCCATGGCAGACGGTCACATGCTAATTAGATGTGCCTTCTCTGGAATCTGAAATCCAAGCACACATTCTACCTCGACTCCTAACCTGATTGCCCCTGCTATAATATTAGGCCATATTCTAGCCTCAACTGTAGCCTTTGTTCTAGAATAGTTCCCTAGTTACCTGCAGATTCCAAGAACTTTTGATAATTTCAACGAATTCTCTTCCGCTTAAAACTGGCCAGAATAAGATTCTTGCTTCAACCTTAACTAGCAAATCTAACATGAAACTGAAAGATTCCTTCTTACAGGACACATTAAACATAAGACTCTCACAGTTATATAAGAGTGTAAATATTTAACAAAAGCAAATTACTCTTTTCAGAACTATGCCTATGAAGTATTAAGGTTCTTTCTATCTAGTGAGGAGGGAATTTCATTACATATATATTATTAACAGAATAAAGCAGAATGCTCTAATGGTAAGAGCTTGGAGGTGAGACAGTCTGGATTCACATCTTGGATTAGGGCCACTTTCTTGGGCAAATTACCAATCTCGCAAGTTTCAGCTTCCTCACGGGGCTAATAACAGTATTTGTCTCACAGAACTATAAACTATTTTGGAAATCAAACTAATTAATACATGCAAAATACTGAGAATACCTAACACGAGTTAGAACTCAACAAATAGTCATATGACTATAACACAAAACTAGTTTCTGAAACATGAATAAATCAAGAAATACAAAACTCACAATGCAAGCAAGGTATTTTATTGGAATAATTACTAAACAATGAAGCACTAAAGGTACAATTTAGGCATTTTAAAAATTAAAATACAAATGGAGTATTTAGAAATCCATGTTGCATTAAGAAATTCATATGTTGCATTAAGGTTAATACCAGAATTTGGAAAACAAAGTAAAATCCCACAACCACTGAAATGCTGACTTCTTCAAGGGATCTTCTCAGCTGTAAAGACTTGAGAAGCTTGTCTCCTAGCCTTGAAAAGAAATTTTAAAAATGTTAAGTGAGAAGTCAATCAATTAAAATATGCATTATCATCTAGTATCAAGAAAACTGAAATCTGGGATTTTTTTTTTTTTCTAGATAATGAAAATCCTGTAAGGAATAGTACAACTTCAAATTCAGGAAATCATTTTAAAAGTCAAGCATAAAAAGTTAAATAAAATTTGAGATAAAGGCAAAACACAAAAAATTTTTTAAAAATATCACCTTTTTATAGAATAATGAATCAAAAGTAAAAATCTGGCTGAAATTCAGAGAGAGACAAGTAAAAACAGGGAAGGAGAGATAAAGATGAGACTATGAGCAGAGAAATACCACCAACGCCTCACTTTCAAGACCAGAAGGACAACAGCCAAATAAAATACTCAGCTAAACTCCATCTTCGTATCTAATCTCATCTATGATCTCAAACGTTATCTGTAAACAAGCATCTTGCTTTTTCTAACAGTTAAAATTAACCTCTAACTTTATTCAGCCAAATAAATGATAGGGTTAAAAAAAAGGAATGCAATTTTGTATTTAAGTCATTGCAAAGAAACCTCTTTGCACAAACATTTGCAAAGAAACTTAAAATTGAAGAACTTCAACAATCCTTGCCTTTATAGCCCAAGTTTTGAAGCTACAAAGATTACTCTCTCTAAATGAAAGAGATCTCATTTCAAGCAACTTTAGTCCTTTCCCTCATGATCCTATTATTCTTCATAAATGCTCCTCTCTACTGTGGTGTCTCTTCTCCCTTTGAAAGTGAAAGTGAAAGTCGCTCTCGTGTCCGACTCTTTGTGACCCCACAGACTATACAGTCCATGGAATTCTCCAGGCTGAATACTGGAGTGGGTAAGTGTTCCCTTCTCCAGGGGATCTTCCCAACCCAGGGGTTGAACCCAGGTCTCCCACATTGCAGGATTCTTTACCAGCTGAGCCATAAGGAAAGCCCTTCTCTCTTTAGAGGGAAACAAATGTGGAGTACTCTAATAGGGACTCTTCCTCTTCAAGATTAGAGAATTGTGCATTTTCTAGATTTGATATGCTACCATATAGCTTCTGTTTATACAAATGGAGGGGTTCCACTTCCTAGGAATTCTTCTATAATGTACTGCTCATCACTTAAATGCAAGGGATAACGAGGCAACACTACTGGAGTTAATTTCTGGAATTGTATATATCCAGTAAGTATTATGTGTATAAACAGTTCTTGAATCTGAAAGAAAAACATATCCCTCAGAGAACTTAACTCTCTCAATAGTGTGATAATTATATCTCCAATAGTACATCCAATATATTCAAGTGCCTAACATAGAGCCTCAGGAATCTCTAGAATCACATTTAATCAACTAAGACCAATATGAGCTGGAACTCCTTGGATTAAGTTAGACTTTCTTATCATACTGTTGCCATTTTCATTACTCCCCTGATAATCAAAATTAAATTATGTATTATAAAATTAAATATTTTTATGAAGTTCTGAGCAAAGTATTTGACAATATTTGGGTATCATCTGAAATTTAAAGATGTCCATTCTGGAATTAAATGATGTAGTGAACAACAACATATCTTTGCCAATCTAATGTTATAGAATGAGGTGTTAGGAGTTATAAAGGAATAACATTGATTTTTAACTTAAAAATTTTATACTCTGAAGTTCAACCTGTCCAAGCGTCACATGGAAAATATTCAGATACTTACAATTTTCTCCTCTGAAGAAAGTACACCTTCTACTGCCACTATCTGGTATTGCTTATGTTTTAAATTCCCCACAAACTTCCGTAGTTGCTTGAGACTGCTAACTTCCATGTCTTGCTTTAGGAGTTTCTGCATTTCTCGAGAAGGACATCCAGGATCAAATACCAGTAAACATAATGTTCGGTTTTTTCTCTCTTCAATTCCAACAACTGTTCGACTATGACCTATAGAAAAATCAAAATAGAGTACATATATGTGAGAGAGATACCTATTTGAGCAGCTACATATAGGTGTAAGTTACTATAAACACACACATATATAGACACCCTATATATACTTTTTATGTGTGTTTCGAATATGAATACAGTCAGTCCCTCTGACATATTGGTTATCTGAATTCTTTCAGATCTCAGACACAAAACTTTAGTTCTACTTCCTAACCTCCAGTTTTCTTTTGTTCAATTTTAGTTTTCCAAAGGCTTCATGGCAAAATATTCTACTTCTACTATGCCAAATATTTTAGTTTCCTTTCCTAATCCCATCGTCCTTTTTATTCAAGTGATCTCAGATAAAAGGATTTGAAATTTAACTGCTGGAGAACAAAAACTCATGGTTCCAAAAGGTAAACAAAAGTTAATTTATATATAAGAAAATTTCAATGGGAAGGGCTTAACTTTTACAGCTTATATCCTAAACAATGAAATTCCTAACATTTACTTCTCCTTCTTCCTGTCAATCCAAATCATCCACTTGACATATTTCATGAAATAACCATACATCAGGCACTGTTCCAGGCTTAGTGACACAAAAGCAAACAAAACAAACATGTCTGCTTTCATGGAGTTTACATTCTAATAGGAAGAAATACTCCATAAACAAGGTAAATGAGTAAAGTCTATATATGTTAGCTAAAGCAAAATAATGCAGGGAAGAGGGTAAGGAAATGCCAGTGCTAGAGAGGGATAGAAAAATGAGCTAAAAAATTTTAAAGGGTGGTCAGGGAAGGCCTAATTGAAGTGAGAAAAGTCCTGAAAAAAATTAACGATGAACAATAAAGGAAGAGGTAGCCCTGAATCAGGTACCTCCAAAGATATCAAGGATATCATCCATTACTGCAATGTATTATGATGACGGTATAGCTCTAAAAATCAGAGTAATATCAGTATACTTCTCTCCTCTCATTATAAGAATCTTAACATACCCTAAAGCAAAAGCTAATTAGTTGTCTTATATAAATAAATCATCTTATAAGTTACACTCAGTATCTATAAATTATACTAACCTTGATGCTGAAGATAGATAGGAGGTTTAGATGTACACACTACTTTTGGACTTCCTTCTCTCTCTGAAGCATAGTAGCTCAATATCCATTCAAATAAGCGAGGGTGTGTACCCAAAGGACCAGTTGACTTGTGAAAGTCAACAATACGGCATCTATAAAAAAAATTGACAAAATGGATTATTTAGAAAATATTTTTAAAACTTTTTTATCAATGGAGTTATAAAATGCAAACATTTTTAATTAATTTTATTTCATCATTATTTTCCTAAGAAGAAATAAAATTTTATTATTTATCTGAAAACTGTTATTTTAGGAGGAATTTCTTTAAATAACTTAAGGTTGATGACAGCTATCAAAGTTACAAAAATTTTCTCACACAGAAAATCTCCGTTCGTAGTAAATGAGAATCATACCCGATTTTAAAGAGTCTACATATAACCTGAGACATGGGGACTTTTATTCTAAAGTCTCTAAACCTGATGATTAATTAGAAGTTGATTTTTGATTCCTCAGCAGCCATAAGGAGCTATCAAAAATATCCTAAATAGTTTTCCTGTCAGTTCTCTCAAATTTCAATAATAGGCAAGAAAAGAATACCTGTAAAGGTCACAGAAAACCTGTGTGTACCCCCCATCTATACATCTATCTATCTACTATTTGGCAACAGACAATGCTGGTACTGTCTCCTCAAGAGGCAGTCAACCATGAATAAATCAAATTATTTTAACCAGGAGCATTATTTACACTTCTCAACAACTATTTTAAAAAGACTGAGTATAAAGGAAAGGAAAAACAATTAAAAGCTTTATTTTCACTTTAAAGTACAGCACAGATATCCTATTCTTGTCTTGCTTGGCCATAAAGTTTCCAAATACACCCACATTGCACTAGTTACTATCTTCAGCGTCAGCAAGTTTAATGTTGATAATTTTCAGCTGATTACTCCTGAGCTTTAAATACTGAAATGAACTTCTGGAAAAGTTATAAAAAAGTAAGAACAGTGATCTTGGGTTAGCAGTTGACTACAGGTTAGATTTAGAATTAGAATAGTATTCTATGGATAAACTCATAGAGAGCAAAAGGAAGACATTTAAATAACTAGAAAACAAATTGAGGGTATAGTAATAAAAAGGCTTTACAAAGAACTAATTTATTTCAGGTACCAAGAAAACATCTTGATATATCAGGTACTTTAAACAAAAATTTTCCTTTCCTTAAAAATTACTTAAAAGCTCAAAACATGATATAGTATAAATAATCTGAAAGTGTGAACAGGCTGTCAAAAAGTAAAAGAAGAAAAATTTTAAGGGCATTAAAACAGTCCTTTGCACTACATAATGATCAAAGGATCAATCCAAGAAGAAGATATAACAATTATAAATATACATGCACCCAACATAGGAGCACCGCAATATGTAAGGCAAACGCTAACGAGTATGAAAGAGGAAATTAATAGTAACACAATAATAGTGGGAGACTTTAATACCCCACTCACAACTATGGATAGATCAACTAAACAGAAAATTAACAAGGAAACACAAACTTTAAAGGACACAATGGACCAGCTAGGCCTAATTGACATCTATAGGACGTTTCACCCCAAAACAATCAACTTCACCTTTTTCTCAAGTGCACACGGAACCTTCTCCAGAATAGATCACATCCTGGGCCATAAATCTAGTCTTGGTAAATTCAAAAAAATTAAAATCATTCCAGTCAACTTTTCTGACCACAGTGCAGTAAGATTAGATCTCAATTACAGGAAAAAAAATTATTAAAAATTCAAACATACGGAGGTTAAACAACATGCTTCTGAATAACCAACAAATCATAGAAGAAATCAATAAAGAAATCAAAATATGCATAGAAATGAATAAAAATGAAAACACAACAACCCAAAACCTATGGGACACTGTAAAAGCAGTGCTAAGGGGAAGATTCATAGCATTACAGGCCTACCTCAAGAAACAAGAAAAAAGTCAAATAAATAACCTAACTCTACACCTAAAGCAACTAGAGAAGGAAGAAATGAAGAACCCCAGGGTTAGCAAAAGGAAAGAAATCTTAAAAATTAGGGCAGAAATAAATGCAAAAGAAACTAAAGAGACCATAGCAAAAATCAACAAAGCTAAAAGTTGGTTTTTTGAAAAAATAGACAAAATTGACAAACCATTAGCAAGACTCATTAAGAAACAAAGGGAGAAGAACCACATTAACAAAATTAGAAACGAAAATGGAGAGATCACAACAGACAACACTGAAATACAAAGGATCATAAGAGACTATTACCAGCAGCTCTATGCCAATAAAATGGACAACTTGGAAGAAATGGACAAGTTCTTAGAGAAGTATAACTTTCCAAAACTGAACCAGGAAGAAATAGAATATCTTAACAAACCCATCACAAGCAAGGAAATCGAAACTGAAATCAGAAATCTTCCAGCAAACAAAAGCCCAGGACCAGATGGCTTCACAGCTGAATTCTACCAAAAATTTAGAGAAGAGCTAACACCTATCTTACTCAAACTCTTCCAGAAAATTGCAGAAGAAGGTAAACTTCCAAACTCATTCTATGAGGCCACCATCACCCTAATTCCAAAACCAGACAAAGATGCCACAAAAAAAGAAAACTACAGGCCAATATCACTGGTGAACATAGATGCAAAAATCCTTAACAAAATTCTAGCAAACAGAATCCAACAACATATCAAAAAAATCATACACCATGACCAAGTGGGCTTTATCCCAGGAATGCAAGGATTCTTTAATATCCACAAATCAATCAATGTAATACACATTAACAAATTGAAAGATAAAAACCATATGATTATCTCAATAGATGCAGAAAAAGCCTTTGAGAAAATTCAACATCCATTTATGATTAAAACTCTCCAGAAAGCAGGAATAGAAGGAACATACCTCAGCATAATGAAAGCTATATATGACAAACCCACATCAAGCATCACCCTCAATGGTGAAAAATTGAAAGCATTTCCCCTGAAATCAGGAACAAGACAAGGGTGCCCACTCTCACCACTACTATTCAACATAGTTTTGGAAGTGTTGGCCATAGCAATCAGAGCAGAAAAAGAAGTACAAGGAATCCAGATAGGAAAAGAAGAAGTGAAACTCACTCTGTTTGCAGATGACATGATCCTCTACATAGAAAACCCTAAAGACTCTACCAGAAAATTACTAGAGCTAATCAACGAATACAGTAAAGTTGCAGGATATAAAATTAACACACAGAAATCTCTTGTATTCCTATACACTAACAATGAGAAAACAGAAAGAGAAATTAAGGAAACAATATCATTCACCATTGCAACAAAAAGAATAAAATACTTAGGAGTATATCCACCTAAAGAAACAAAAGACCTATACATAGAAAACTATAAAACACTGATGAAAGAAATCAAAGAGGACACAAACAGATGGAGAAATATACTGTGTTCATGGATTGGAAGAATCAATATTGTCAAAATGGCTATACTACCCAAAGCAATCTATAGATTCAATGCAATCCCTATCAAGCTACCAACAGTATTTTTCACAGAACTAGAACAAATAATTTCACAGTTTGTATGGAAATACAAAAAACCTCGAAGAGCCAAAGTAATCTTGAGAAAGAAAAATGGAACTGGAGGAATCAACCTGCCTGACTTCAGACTATACTACAAAGCCACAGTCATCAAGACAGTATGGTACTGGCACAAAGACAGAAATATAGATCAATGGAACAGAATAGAAAGCCCAGAGATAAATCCATGAACCTATGGTCACCTTATCTTCGACAAAGGAGGCAAGAATATACAATGGAAAAAAGACAACCTCTTTTAACAAGTGGTGCTGGGAAAACTGGTCAACCACCTGTAAAAGAATGAAACTAGAAAACTTTCTAACTCCATACACAAAAATAAACTCAAAATGTATTAAAGATCTAAATGTAAGACCAGAAACTATAAAACTCCTAGAGGAGAACATAGGCAAAACACTCTCTGACATAAATCACAGCAGGATTCTCTAAGACCCACATCCCAGAATATTAGAAACAAAGGCAAAAATAAACAAATGGGACCTAATGAAACTTAAAAGCTTTTGCACAACAAAGGAAACTATAAGCAAGGTGAAAAGACAGCCCTCAGATTGGGAGAACATAATAGCAAACGAAGCAACAGACAAAGGATTAATCTCAAAAATATACAAGCAACTCCTCCAGCTCAACTCCAGAAAAAGAAATGACCCAATCAAAAAATGGGCCAAAGAACTAAACAGACATTTCTCCAAGGAAGACATACAGATGGCTAAGAAACACATGAAAAGATGCTCAACATCACTCATTATCAGAGAAATGCAAATCAAAACCACAATGAGGTACCATTACACACCAGTCAGGATGGCTGCTATCCAAAAGTCTACAAGCAATAAATGCTGGAGAGGGTGTGGAGAAAAGGGAACCCTCTTACACTGTTGGTGGGAATGCAAACTTGTACAGCCGCTATGGAGAACAGTGTGGAGATTTCTTAAAAAACTGGAAATGGAACTGCCATATGACCCAGCAATCCCACTTCTGGGCATACACACTGAGGAAACCAGATCTGAAAGAGACACGTGCACCCCAATGTTCATCGCAGCACTGTTTATAATTGCCAGGACATGGAAGCAACCTAGATGCCCATCAGCAGACGAATGGATAAGGAAGCTGTGGTACATATACACCATGGAATATTACTCAGCCATTAAAAAGAATTCATTTGAATCCGTTCTAATGAGATGGATGAAACTGGAGCCCATTATACAGAATGAAGTAAGCCAGAAAGATAAAGACCATTACAGTATACTAACACATATATATGGAATTTAGAAAGATGGTAACGATAACCCTATATGCAAAACAGACAAAGAGACACAGATGTATAGAACAGACTTTTGGACTCTGTGGGAGAAGGCGAGGGTGGGATGTTTCAAGAGAACAGCATCGAAACATGTATATTATCTAGGGTGAAACAGATCACCAGCCCAGGTTGGATGCAAGAGACAAGTGCTCGTGCCTGGTGCACTGGGAAGACCCAGAGGGATCGGGTGGAGAGGGAGGTGGGAGGGGGGATCGGGATGGGGAATACATGTAAATCCATGGCTAATTCATGTCAATGTATGACAAAAACCACTACAATACTGTAAAGTAATTAGCCTCCAACTAATAAAAATAAATGAAAACAAAAACAAAAACAAAACAGTCCTTTGAATTTAATAATTCAAGAAAGTTATTATACACACATTCATTTTTCTATTTAAAATTTAGGAAGTATTTTTATCTCTGAATATAACTCATATATAGAAATGATGTAAAACACTGGCAAAATGACTTGGAAACAAACATAAAAGGAAATACACAGTCATGAAGCTTAAGGCAAACTTTCTATTAAAGATGATCATAAGCATTCATCTCTGATGCCTCTTGAAAGTCCAACAACATAATACTGAAGGAGAAAATGATTTAAACACCTATGGAGAAAAAGAATAGAGACCGACAAGAAACAGGCACACATTTCTGGAAAATGGATAGCAGGAGAGAGGAAACATAAAAGTGAATACAAAGAAACAGAGACAACTTTCTTAAAACCCAAAAGAGGACAGAAGTTTAATGAACACCAGGTATTGGGAAGGGTAGTACTGAGGCTGAAAACAGAGATTAATTGGAAGGTTGAATAAATGGAGCAAATCAATAATCAACTCCTCACCTCTACTGATGGAGGAACTACAGGCAAGAATGGACTCTGAGAAAAGACCTCTCTCTTATACTAATAGTTGAGAGTCTCCAAACACACAGCAAACTTCCACCTCAGAAACGAAGTTTTCTCAACTACAAGCTCTATGAAACCCTACAGGACTGCCAATCAGCTTTTTTAGTACTGCGTTCTTCACTTTAGGAAAAACAGTAAGGATTTTTAAAAGTTAGAAGAAAGTCTTCTAAACAGACTAAAATAAATAGACATGAAATTTTTTTTTTTTTTTGGTTTGTTTTTAACTTTTTATTATGGACATTAAGAAATACAAAATAGAATAGAATAGTATAGTGAAGCCCATGAGCTCATCACCCAGCACATCATCCCTCACCAATTATAGGGTTCCCTGTTCATTTCTGCCCCTGGTGTGTGGGAGCAGGCACTGTTTCAGCCCACTTGAGAGTGATGGGCCAGGACATGGAACCAGAAGTGTCATATTTTTAAAAGAAGCCAGGCATTTTGATTTTTACTTAAGACCTCATGACTTTTCTATGTTGGCAATTTGTTTAAGTTTTTTAACACAATGTACAGGTAAAAATGTGCTCCCAAACTTAGTGAATGAACTTACGGTTGCCAGGTGGAAAGGATGGGGGTAAGGGGTAGTTAGGGAGTTTAGGATTGACATGTACACTCTGCTGTATTTAAAATGGATAACCAATAAGATCCTACTGTATAGCACAGGGAATTCAACTCAATGTTATGGGGCAGCCTAAATGGGAAGGGAGTTTGGAGAGAATGGATACATGTATATGTATGGCTGAGTCCCTTTGCTGTTCGCCTGAAACTATCACAACTTTGTTAATCAACTATACTCCAATATAAAATAAAAAGTTTAAAAAAAAGCTTATGCTGTCAGTTGCTGACTTTTCGTAATGATATATGCTTGGAGAAAATGCTGGTGGTGAGAGAGGAAATGCAATCAAATGCTGAGGTGATCCTGGGCCTCTTAGAGATACCTGTGTGCAAAATCATTGCCCCATGGATGGGCCACAGTTGGGCTAGACATGGCTCTGTGATGACCCTCCTAGTGGAGGAGGTTTTCTTTTTTTTTTTTTTGGCGTCTCTAAATATCTTTTATTGTTTTTTTTTGTTTGTTTGTTTTTATTTTACATGTATTCCCCATCCCGGTCCCCCCTCCCACCTCCCTCTCCACCCAATCCCTCTGGGTGATTCATAGACATGAAATTAATTTAACATGGAGGAAACAGAAAAATGCAAGGAATAGAAAAAATTTACAACCATAAAAGGCTGTGATGCTATGAAATTACTCCTTAAAGTTGAAAAAAATTATTGTTAAAATAAAAATTTCAATAAAGTAGTGAGGAGATAAAGTTGAGAATCCAGATAGTAAAACAAAAAGCAAAGATCAAAAAGTGAGACACGACCAGTGAACTCAAAAAGTCAAAAAAGTTCAGAGGCCAACAAACAGGAGTGCCAGAAAGCAAAATAAAGAAAATGGAGAGATCATACTCATCAAACAACAGTGAACCCTTAAGCTCTTACTACATGCCAGTCACAGTCTTAAGCACAATATTATCACTACAACTCTATGTATGAATCAGTCACTATTTACATGTTCTTTTTTCAATGGTGGAACTAGGCTACGAACATAGAGTCAAGTCATAGAGCTGGTAAGCAGAGAGCTAGAATCAGCTGTAGGCAACTTCACTTCAAAACGCCTAAGCTCTTAACCACTATGTGCCTAGTCATACCCAACTCTTTGCGACCCCATGGACTGTAGCCCACCAGGCTCCTCTGCCCACGGGATTCTCCAGGTACGTCTTGCCTTCTCATTAAGTAATACTAATTGTTAGAAGCCAGTAGAGGAACGATGTATTGATTCATAAATGATTTTGAGTTAAGAATAATACAACAGTATTATTATATTATATATATTATTATGTATATTAATATATAATATATATAATATTATGTATATTATGTATATTATTAATATATATAATATATATATTATGTATATTATGTATATTATATATATTATTATTATGTATTATATTATATACAACTCAGTAATAAGACTAGGCATCCTTTCTTAGGAAGCTAATAAAGGAAGTGTTCAAGTAAAAGAGAATAATCCAAAAATAAGAAAGACATGGAATCCAGGAAAAACTCCAGGATCCAATTCAACAGAGTGAAGAAATGCAACACGATTAGAGCTATGGAAAGGACCTAGAAGCAAACAATCCAGACTACAGAAGAGGACAATCGGCTTCAAGAAAAATATCTCCAGGAATAAGGAGTACCTCGGATTACATAAGTGGAGTTATCTGTAAAAAAGTGAGCATGATGCAGTCAAACAGTAAAAGGGAAAAGGTAGGCAATTCTTAGGGAAAACTTTAAAAAGCCTTCCAGGAAAGATATAAAATCATCAGTGAGTAATATTTACACGGTTGACTCTAACTTAATAAAAACTGAGATTTAACCGTATTATAAAAAGTGAGGAGAAACAGGTGGGAGATATAAGAAGAATGCAACAGACAATGTCTAAAGCTGACAAACCAAGAAAAAGCCATGAAAGCATCTTATTTAAAAACAATGAAAGTGACAGCGTCTCTAAGAAATAAGACTTGAGAATAGAGAAGAGCAAGAAACAGGGTATGTGTGGTTGGTTTTCATTATAAGACTTTCATTTTATTAATGCTACTTAAATTTTATTTTTAAACTATCCCTTTGATAAAAAACACAAACAACAAAAACTTCCTAGATAGGACAACAACATTAACTTGGCTTTTTAGGTACATACTTTATCCTTAGGGAGGTGAGAAGGGTATATATTTCACATGCTCCAATCCAGGCCTTTGTTCCTTGTAACCTGTTATTAAGCTGAGAGGCACCCTGGGGATCAAAACCTTCCTTCCAAGCATCTTCAATCATAGACTGAATCTTTGGAATGCAAGGAACTGACATATCTAAAATTATAGAAAGCAAACATGTAATATGACAATTACTAAAGTGCTGAATAATATTTAGCAGTACATCACATATTTTACAAGAAGCTATCACTTTTAAGTCAACTATTTCTGACATCTACTATATCATTTTCTCTTTCTACAATCAGAATGAAGATTTTTAATGTAAATATCCACTAAAATACATCTTTATTAAAGCTATTAATTTTAATATGCATACTATATATTAATTCATTCCACATCATATGTACTTTATTAGATGATAAATTCAGAGTCTGTATTTCACATACCTTTCAAGCTATCACCATAAGTATCATTTTGCAATAATGATGAAAGCAGCATTTGGAAATTTCTGTAACCACAACCCCAACCTTTATCACCAAAAGATGAATGAAAGTGATCCACTCCTGCAGAAAGCCACACACGCCTCACATCTGTGGCAGCATTCTGATAATACCTACAAAGAGCTTCCATAACTCCTAAAGTGGAAAAGAGATTTAGAAGGTTTAGAAGGGTATCACCTTTCATGGATGTCTCATACATTTCCAGTATCAATCTCTTTCTCAAGGGCACATGTAAATCCTGCCAATTCCATCTTCTACCTTTTTACTGCCATAGTCTTAGTCATTGTCCTGCTTGTTTCACACAATGCAAGGTTCCTAACACTAGCATATTACTTACTATGCTGAATTGAAATTGTTTGCCTTTTTCATTTCTGCATCTGCAGGGCCTAGCACATGAAAGTACACTGCTGAATGAATGTCCTTATCTCTCCATTTTATTATACATTCTGCTGGACATCATTCTCTCTGCTCAGTTCTAATCAATTTGCTCCCAATTTAAAAACTTCATTATGGTTTATCACAGTGAGTTGATTTTTATGTGGTATAATTACTTCCAATTGGCATAAAGAAATACCAAGATCTACATGAAGGAATTGTTTTTATGTACATATATATATATATATATATATATATATATAGTTTTTTTAACTTTTTATTTTATATTGAGTATAGTTGATTAACATTAACAATGTGATAGTTTCAGGTATACAGCAAAGTGATTCAGTTATACATGATTCTGTTCTTTTTCAAATTCTTTTTCCCATTATGATTATTATATAATAGTGAACAGAGTCTCCTGTGCTATACAGGAGGTCCTTGCTGGTTATCAATTTTAAGGGTATAAATATTTAAAGACAATAGAAAGGGATATGTTTATGATATCAAAGATGGAGGAATTTCTTAAATAAGACACTTAAGACACAAGAAAAGGAAAAGATTGAGAAATCTGATTACATTCAAATTTAAAATTCTGCCTAATTAAAGACGCCATATACAAAATGTGGGCTTCCCTGATAGCTCAGTTGGTAAAGAATCTTGACCCCGGTTCGATTCCTGGGTCGGGAAGATCCCCTGGAGAAGGGACAGGCTACCACTGCAGTGTTCTCAGGCTTCCCTTGCAGCTCAGTGGGTAAAGAATCCGCCTGCAATGCGGGAGACCTGGATTCAAGGCAAATTATAGATTTGAAGAAGAAAACTGCTCCTCATATAATCAATGAAGAACTAACATCTTGAATACTTAATGGACTTTCAAAAATCAATAAGAAAAAGACAAACAACCCAACAGAGACGAGAAAAGGGACTAGGTTATTTACAGAAGAAACGAGCTCAGGAGTCATCAGAGAAATACAATTAAGAGATGCAGCTCACCATTAAATGGCAAAAACTTAAGAGTCACAATATAAAGTGTGAGTCAAAACACACTGACCTAATGTAGGTTACAAACATTCTAGAAAACAACTTCATAATACTCTTAACAAAATTAATTATGCAAATGCTCTTTAACCTAGTATTTCTAGTCTGGATGTTAAAGAAACTTTTGAGGAGGAAACCTGTTCATAATTTTTAAGAATAAAACACTGGCAACAACGTAAGTCATAAAAGCAAATTCTATTCAGCAAAGTGAAAGCAGCAGAGTTATAAGAATCAACACATTTAAGCAAATCCAATCAGAGCATACATATTGTACACAACTTACACATAGTTTAAAATATAAAAAATTATATATTATTATGGAAACTTACATACAAGATAAAGTTACTAAAACACATATGAGACTGATAAATACCAAATTCGGGATGATGATTCCCTTTGTGGAGGAGGAGAAATTAGAAATCAAAGAGGGGTACACAGGGGCTGAAAATACATATAAAACGTTTTACAGCTTAAAAACATTAAGTTTCATAAAAATTGGGTGGCAGGAAAAAAGTTGTTTCCATATAATCTTTTTTAACTATACTAACAGATATGTTTTTTAAAAATGTGGACAATATCAGGAAAAAGTACATTCTTTGGAACAAGGCAGATCTGATTGTGAATACCAACTGGGCCAATAACTAGCTACGCAACCTCACCTTGTGCTAATTTGCTTCAGTCATGTCTGACTCTTTGCAACCTTATGGACTGTAGCCCTCCAAGCTCCTGTTCATGGGATTTACCAGGCAAGAATACTGGAGTGGGTTGGTTGCCGTGCCCTTCTCCAGGGGATCTTCCCAACCCAGGGATTGAAACTGTCTCTCTTATGTCTCCTGCATTGGAAGGCAGGTTCTTTACCACTAGCGGCACCTGGGAAGCCCAACCTTACCTTAGGAAAGTAATTTAACCTCTCTAAGTCACAATTCCCTCATCCAGAAAAATCTAATACACAAGATTTTTCTTTTGAAAGTTACATGATACAATATATATAAAGGTCTTAGTGTCTAAAACTATACTGAACAATATGGCAGAAACTATTTGCATATAGTTATCTGAACACCTGAAATGTGGCTTGTCCAAACTCAGATGTTCTGCAAACTAAAATACACACTGGATTTTAAAGAATGTACAAAGATTGCAAAATACTGCGCTGATAATTTTTAATACTGATGACACATTGAAATACATTTTGGACATACTGGAAAAATATGAAAATTAATTTCATCTAGCCTTTTTTTATTTTTCTAATGTGACTATTGGAAATTTAAAATTATTTATGTGGCTCACTTACATTCTACTAGACAGCAATTGTCTGGAAAATAGTAAGCTCTCAATAAAAACTATTCTCAAAGGTCCGTTTTCAAATGTCAAGTAAATTGATACAAGATAAAAGTGAATCATTTACTATAAAAATAAAAGTTCAGGAGTTTTAAAACAACACACAAAAAAATTATTTGAATATATGGTCTCACCTAAAACTATATAAACTGTGGGTTGTGAAAATCAAGCACAATTCAAATAATCCTATTACTTCAGTGATGTATGCAATATTAAAACCATGACTTGGATGTTTAAATACTCACCAGACGTTTTTGTTTTTCCATCATCAACACCAATAGCTAGTGATTCCATCATATCAGCTTTTCTTCTATGAAATTCAGATGGATGCATTCTTCCCCTATTTACTTCTATCTCCATATTTCGTAGCTGCTGTTGTTTGTACCCTCCAGAATTATCTAAACCATATTGTCTCTATTGAACATAAAAATAAATGACTTAATTTTTATGTCCCTTTACATCAATGAGGTGAGAAATTTACCACTATTTTATGTATCTGGAAATATCTTTTGAAACATTCTGGTTTATAGACTTCTATATGAGCCAACTTACAGATTTTTATGAAAAATGATAACACAACAAAAAAATCCCTGAGTTAATAACAGGATTTTGTAGAGAGCCCTTCTCTACAAACAACCATCATGGCAAGAGACTTGTTTTCCTTGAAGTAGGGAAAGTAGAGAATCCAATCTTCCTACTAATGGTAATGTGACAAGCAGATGAGTTCTGACCATACTGCTGATTTTTTTCAAGACAACCTATCAAGGAACCTGTACTTGTTACTTGGTTCCTAGGCTAGCCTAAAAAGGCCTACTTAATCCACAATTCACTCAGGTATTCACTCTATGCAGTAAATGAACTATGTTTTTGCACACTGACAGAAAATCTAAAATAATATGTTAGAACAGCCCCTACAAAAATATTTCTGAGATCTAAACAACTAACCTGCAAAGTTACATAATAAACTTATACTCCCTTAAACACTGAAAACTTTTTGTATTGATAATATAAGGTAGAGAGATATAGGAAAAGTCAACTTTTTTTTCCTCTGAATCTTGGTGGGAAAATAATTATGCAAATAGATGAACCACAGGTGAGAAAAATAGCCTAAATTAGATATTCTAAGGAAAGAATAGCCATGTGCAAGAAATCAGAGGAAAAAAAGTTAGAGGTCAAACAAGTTCAGGAAGATTATGATATGTACAATACATATTAGTATATTAAAGGCTTTAAGAAGACATCAGGTACACAAACCTGTTTAATTGAACATTTTCAAACCTATTCATTCATAAACCCTTTTTATTCACACATTATCCTATAAGCACATACAAAAAGAACACTTAAAATCTATAAGCATTATTAGCAAATGACTACATAGCCTATAGCAAGTTAAGACTGAAAAGAGTAGGAAACGCTGTAAAATATAAAAGCAGCTACCAGTTTAGTTCAGTACATACTACCATTCACCCAAGACTGACTCAAACTTCATAAAAAAGCATTTTCCATTAAAAATAGTTCTTTCTAAATTCCTGAACTGCAGTCACTAAAAGAATTTAAGGCTCAAGAGACATTAATTCTAAGTTTCAGTTTTAAGTATTTATACAAACATTTAAAATTCTGAGTCTCAATTTCTTAGTTTTCTCCATTAACATAGGTTTAAAAGTAGGCTTCACCATTTAATACTGCCCAATCCTGAACCAGTTAAGCTACATAAGTACTCTGTTTCCATCTCTTCATCTGCTGTTCAAAAAAAAAAAATCTAAAATAACTTCATGGAGTATGGAAGACTGTAAGATACTTTACATCAGGGTCCCCAACCCCAGGGCCACAGACCGGTACCAGTTCATGACCTGTTAGGAACCAGGCCACATAGCCGGAAATTAACAGGAGGTGAGTGAGCAAAGTTTCACCTGTATTTACAGCTGCTCCCCATCACTTCCATTACTGTCTGAAACTTTTGTCAGATCATCAGCAGCATAACAAATATAATGCACTTGAATCAACCTGAAACCATTCCCCCTGCCACTCCAGGTCCATGAAAAAACTGTCTTGGTCCCTGGTGCCAAAAAAGTTGGGGACTGCCACTTTAAAAGAAGTGTTTACCCCAGTATGTAAATGCATACTTATGAATGGTGGTTGTTATGAACTATAAAAAATATATGTAAAAAATATTTTGTATTAAATAAAGACAAAAATAATAGGCTGAAGTCTTAATAGCATGTTTGAAAACCAAGAACTCTAACTAAACCAAAATAATATCATTATACTTAATCTTTGTACCTGCAGCTTCTGAAATTCTTCCATTTCTTGTCTTGATTCTTCAGATCTCCTCTTTCGGTCTTCTTCTTGTTGAAGCTGTTGAGCCAACTCTAGATCTCTAGAACACTGCACTCTATTCACACCTATTATATATTTTTAATGTTTAGAATAAAAGACTGCAATCAAGGCTCACTTATATGTTAGTACACATTTTTTAAATGGAATAAAGGCTATTATTTTGCCATTTATTCATGACTATGATGTCATAGAAAACTGAATATATATCCAGCAGAACTTAAACTGCCTCTATAAGGGTACAACCTCCACTTAAATCACTAATATTCACTGAATGTTTAGGCTGTAACAAACACTTCTCATTAATTATCATTAATTATCTCATTTGGATCTTCATAACAGGAAGTATTATTATCTATTGAAGAAACCAAAACTTAAGAGAAATTAAGTAGCACCCTGGAGTGGTGCCCCTTATAAATACATATAAGGCAGATTGGTTTTTAAGAGAAATACTTGGGGGGGGTGCAGTGTGTGGAAATAATTAAGAGAATAAAAAAAAACAAGTGAGCAAAGTACAGAAATTAGATCATAACCTAATGTCTGACCTCAAGCAAATAGTATAACTTGCCCATTTTGCTCTCTATCCAGTGTCCTACACATCCATTATTCAGTGCCCTCTGGCTAGCATCTCCTTGATCTTCCAATTTGATGGTTTAATTATGTATCTGAATATTCTTTCTTTCCCTTCAAATCTCTCAGCCTCTGATACCTCTTCCTACTGGTCCCCACTTCTACTGGTGGAAATATGCAATCCAATACTGATTTTTAGCATACTTATGAGGCTATCTACAGTGATTTGCTCAGATTCGCCTCAGACTCCAGCCTATGGAGTACACACAGCCCACGTGTAAGCCTACGGAGGTAACAGAGTAACTCATGTACCCATTCAAAGCTTGGGTCTCCCTGGGGGCTCAGTGGTGACTCAGTAGCAGCAGCATACAAAGCTTATCATAAGCTTATCAGAAACTCAACTTCAGAGTTATTCTTCCACAGTAATTAGTAAAGAACCAACACAGTGAAGAACGGTTCCATCTTTACTCCAGCAATTCCCATCTTGGTATTAGGCTGAGTGATCGGTATAATGCTGTCCGTGGACATCACTAACTGGTACTAGGATCGCTGATAATGAATACTAGAAACCTCTGCATTGACAGGAGATATCTATGTACCTTAAGAAACTGATATCCAGTAGAACACAACTGGTTTCTCTTTTGGTCTACTTTGTATTTTGTTTCAATGGAATTGTGAAACTCATATAGGATCTTTCCACTTCTAAGGCACCATCATGATTACTTAACCAATGCCACTAGCAAAAAAGATAGGGGAACAGAAGAAAACTTTAGAATCTCTTATAAAACTACTCATGGTAATAAAGAAGCTAGAAGAGTAGTTGAAAATGTACTTGAAAAACTTTGAAGTCACATACTTCACATTCTTTTTAAAATTACATGTGCCATATGGCAGCTTCTGAGTTCATGAACAATTTTTACTAATAAGATGTTAAATTCAATTAATTCCAGCTGTTAAAATGGCCTCAAATTTCAAATCAAAAAGATTTTAAAAATGGTACAATATGTCATTATCTTCTGATGTTCTGGGTCAAAACCCTGGATGTACACCCCTAATTCAATTGTTGGTCACACCAGTTAATCCTTTACAATCTTTTCTGTGAAAAATTTTTGACAAATTGAAGCTGTATTAAAATTTTTTAAGGGACAGATTTATTTTTAACCAACGTGTTTTCTTCCCCTCTATAACACTAATCTAAAAAGTAGATAATGTCCTAGGAAGTAGAAATTAAATCATAACATCCTTATCTTTAAACATATAGTCATACCTTGTCCAAAGCTGCTTTCTTCCAAATGCAAGTCAACGTGTTCCTGCAGAATATGGTAGTTTGTACAAATAAGCCCACACATAGGGCAGTCATAGAGTAGTTGATTACAGTCTGTATTAGAGATATAATTTAGTTGGTTTTATTTTTAAAATCTTTAGATTTTTCACATCAAGTCAAAGACTGTCTACTACTCACTAACTTTATTAAGTAAAAGCTCTTTGTAGCTGGATTCAAAGCAATTTTCTACTTCTAGATGAAAGACTGAGCATAAGCACAAACCTCTTCTCACTACAGTGAAAGAAAACATTAACAATAAATATTCAGCTCTGTAGTCAAAATAAGAAAAGTAGAAAGGGAAATCAAATGGTAAGTAGTGGTCAATCTAGAAATGGATTTTGTGGGCTGGATTCTCAGTACCCTCCAAACTAAGTGGTGATATGCAGAATTGAAGCATTCAGCATAAAGCTGGACACTGGGATCAAATGCCCTAGTTGGGAGCATAAGATCCAAGAGCTGCATCCATTAAGCAGCATTGCAGACAGACAGGTACAACTTGCCCAAGAGAGAAATGGTGCCTCTGTAAGACCAAGACCTAGCTGACACTGGGTACAGAAGATGTTATTAGAAAATCACAAATTAAAATAAAACAACACTGCATACATATTAGAATGACCAAAATCTGGATAGTCAAAATCTGTATGATCAAACCTCTGGTTTTTCCTAGTTATGTATGGATGTGAGAGTTGGGCTGTAAAGAAGGCCGAGAGCTGAAGAATTGATGCTTTTGAACTATGGTGCTGGAGAAGACTTCTGAGGGTCCCTTGGACAGCAAGGAGATCAAACCAGTTAATCCTAAAGGAAATCGACCTTGAACATATTGGAAGGACTGATGCTGAAGCTGAAGCTCCAATACTTTGGCCATTGGCCACCTGATATGAAGAGCCATTCTTTGGAAAAGACCTTGATGCTGGAAAAGACTGAGGACAAGAGGAGTGGGTGACAGAGAATGAAATGGTTGGATGGCATCACTGACTCAATGGACAGGAGTTTGAGTAAACTCAGGGATATATTGAAGGACAGGGAAGCCTTGTATGCCACAGTTCATAGGGGTCACGAAGAATTGGATGTGACTTAGTGACTGAACAACAACAACAAAATCACTGACAACAGCAAATGCTGGCAAGGACACGAGCAACAGGAACTCTCATTCACTGCTGGTGGGAATGCAAAAGGGTTTAATCACTTTGAAAAAGTTTGGCAATTTCTTATAAAACCAAACACACTATTACTACATGAGCCAAAATCACGAATTCCCTTGTGTTCATCAAAATGAATTGAAAAGTACTGTCCACACAAAAGCCAGTACAGTTTATAGCAGCTTTATTCATAATTGCCAAAACTTGGAAGCAACCAAAGGGACCTTCAGTAGGTGAACAGAAAAACTGTGGAACATCCAAAAGATGATTATTCAATGTAAAAAAAAAAAAACAAACCTATTAAGCCATAAAAAGACAGAGGAATCTTAAATGCACATTGCTAAGTGAAATATATCAATATGAAAAAGCTACATGGCATATGATTCCAATTATATGACACTCTGGAAAAGGCAAAAACATGGAGACAATAAAAAGATCAACAGTAGCCAGTGGCCACAGGGAGGGAAGGATGAACAGGTGGAGCATAGGGGATTTTCAGGGCAGTGAAGTTATTCTGTATGATACTAAATACTAAATGGTGGGTTCATGTCATTATACATTTGTCAAAACCCGTGTACATCACCAAGAGTGAACCCTAATATAAACATGGACTTTGGGTGACATTGACATCAATGTAGATTCACTGACTTTGACAAATGTTTCACTTGGTATGGGTTGGTTGTTGACTGCCAGAGGAGTTTATGAGGATACAGGGACGGGGGTACTTGGGTACTCTCTGTACTTTCTATTAAATTTTAATGTAAACCCGAAACTTCCCTAAAAAATAGCATTTATTAAAATCCAAAACACGAATATATGCCCTCCTCCTTAACCTCTCATAAAAATTATTCAAATGAATCAGACTTAAATGTAAAATTCAAAATTTCTAGAAGATAACATGGGAAAGGTGACCTTGGGTTTGACAGAGTTTTGATACACCACCAAAAGCACCACCCATGAAAAAAGAAATCAAATGAGGCAAACTTCATTAAAAGTAAAAACTTCTGATCTGTGAAAGACACTGTTAAGAGAATGAAAAGACAAGTCTCAGACTGGGAGAAAATATCTGTGAAATATTTGCAAAAAAAATTTGCAGAATCCAATAAAGGACGTGCATCCACAATATATAAATTATTCTTAAAAGTCAACAGTATCAAAGAGACACATGATTCTAAATGTGTATGCACCAACAACAGAGCCTCAGAATACATGAAACAAGTCTGATAGAGCCTAAAGGAAAAACAGACAAATACACTGGGATATATAGATATATAGAGATCATGATAGGGAACTTTAACCTCTGTCCAAAAACTGGTAGAACGGCTAGACAGGAAATCAATAAGGACATGGAAGATCTGAACACAATCAAACAACACACTCTAACTGACAAATATAGAACACTTGATCCAACAACAGCAGAATATACATTTTTTTCCTCAAATGTCTATGGAACATGTGAACATGTGCTAAGACAGACCACATCCCATATCTTAGGCCATAAAACAAGTTTCAACAACTTCAACAAATTCAAAAGAACTTAAATCATAAAGTTTGCTCTCTGATCAAAAAAGAATCATAGTAGAACTCAGTAACAGAAAATCAGAATCCCAGACAATCCAGATGCCACTGGCCTGGTGGTAAATAAAAGAATACCCTCTGGGTCTTCCCTGTGGCTTAGATGGTAAAGAATCTGCCTGCAATGCAAGAGACCCAGGTTCCATCCCTGGGTTGGAAATATCCCCTGGAGAAGGAAATGGTAACCCACTCCAGTATTCTTGCCTCGAGAATTTCATGGACAGAAGAACCTTGTAGGCTACAGTCCATGAGATCACAAAGAGTCAGACAGGACTGAGCAACTAACACTTTCATTTTCACTTTCATCCTCTGGAAACTAGACTCTGAATCTACTTCTCCTCAGAAAGTTTCTACAGACTACTTTCGAAGTAGATGAAACATGTACTGTTTGCATCAAAACTCTTTGCCATTATAGTAGTTTCATATTATAGTAATGGCAAATGAGCAATGCTATAAACTGAAATTAAAAACACATTTGTAGTAATCTTATTTACAAACCAACTTTTGGGATACTACATATTAAATTGAGACTAATGCTACTTATTATATAAAATGAATATTTACCTTCTAATGGAGTGTCTAAAAGATCAGCATGCTTTGTTTTCACATGAGTTTCCATATCTTGACTATTATCTTCTATTTTTCCACAGAATGGACATTCAGGAGGACTGTACATTGTTTCATAAATTGATTCTTTAAGTTTGGTTCGGTCAGACTGTTTTTCCATACTTTTCAGGAATTTTCTAGAGTCAGTTAAGTTCTCTGAATAAAAGTCTTTATGTTTTAAAGTACCATCCTTTGGCAGGCTTTGAGCTGAAATCTTCGGCTGATTAGATGCACAAGCTGAATGAATACCTGAATTAATGTCTGCTCTACACTGTAGGCTGCTGTCCTTCCTGTTATCGGAAGTTCCATACTGTCCTGTATTGATCCTCTCAAAGTTTCTTTCTAGTTCATTTTGCTCAAAATGAGCAGTTTCAATATGAAAACACATTTCATCATAATTCACACCTGACAACTTGCAAAATGGACATATAACTTCATTTTCCATGTGAACAATTAGGAGGTGAGCCTTCATGTCTGGTTCTGAGGATACTGTTTCACCACAAATATCACAAGATAGCATGGTAGAGCAGGTAACTAGAAAAGAATACAATGTTATTTATGTTAGTAAGAGCTGAAGACCAAGAAAATACATTTTATGAAAGGATTTGGAACAACTATATTTGTTATTTATAGCTAGATTATTTATCTGAAGAAATTGTCAATGTCCTTGCTGCTGCTGCTAAGTCGCTTCAGTCGTGTCCGACTCTGCGCAACCCTGCAGACGGCAGCCCACCAGGCTCCCCGTCCCTGGGATTCTCCAGGCAAGAACACTGCAGTGGGTTGCCATGTCCTTCTCCAATGCATGAAAGTGAAAGGTGAAAGTGAAGTCGCTCAGTCGTGTCCGACTCTTAGCAACCCCATGGACTGCAGCCTACCAGGCTCCTCCGTCTTCACTGTCCTTCCTGTTCCTCAAATATACGAATTTATTTATAAATCTCAACCAAATCTTCACTACTGCATTTCAAGTTCATAGTTTGGATAAAACAAAGGCAAAGCGAAAGTGAAGATGCTCAGGCGTGTCTGACTCTTGTGGACTGTAGTTCAGCAGGCTCTTCCATCCATGGGATTTTCCAGGCAAGAATACTGGAGTGAGTTGTTATTTCTTTCTCCAGGGGATCTTCCTGACCAGGGATGGAGCCCTGGGTCAGACTCTTTACTGTCTGTGCCACCAGGGAATCCCTAAACAAAGGCAATGATACTGCATATTAAACAATTTTTCAAAAATTTCAAAGTGTGTCTGGACTGAGGTGAAGAAAAAATAACGTATATAAACTCGCCCAGGTAAAATAAGCCAAGTAAGAGAAAACAAAGAGAAGAAACCTTATCAACCAATACATCTAAATACAAAAACTTTTTAAAGTTATTAATAATGAGTTGCACAAATAAACAAATTTCATAATAGCAGTTAACAGTTAAAGAGTTTTACATGTCAAACTAATTTAAGCACCATTACTATCATTCTGGGATTCACTGATGGCTCAGCGGTAAAGAATTCACCAGCAATGCAGGAGACGCAGGCTGGATCCCTGGGTCAGGAAGATCCCGAGCAGGAGGGCATAGCAACCCACTCCAGTATTCCTGCCACGAAAATCCCACGTACAGAGGAGCCTGTCAGGCTGTATAGTCCATGTGGTTGTAAGGACTGAATTGACTGGGCACACACGATCATTCTAAATGAAGGAAACTGGCTCAAAGTCACCAGCACCAAAAAATGGTTAGCCAAAATGCTAACCCAGTCAGGCTCCAGAGCTGCACTCTCCACCCAAAATATAAAAGCACAGTGAGCAGAGTTAAAAAGAGCACTGATTCCAGAGTCAAGAGAACTGGGTTATAATCTCAGGTTTCATAATTTTAGATGAAACACCTCACCTATCTGAGGTTCGGCCTACAAAATGAGTTGTATTGAATCAGCAGTCACTTCTGGGTTTTACAAAGTTCTGGCTATGACACAAAAGTGATTTTGCTAAGACGTTTTTTAAAAGCAAGCACAGTCACAACCTTCTACTATCTAGGCTAACTTTCAGCTAGAAACTTTTAAAACAAACAGAAAGTGAAAATAAGGAAACTATCCCCACTATTTAAATAAACTTAGTTTTGTAAGATCGCCCAACTTCCTCTCCCCCCCCCCCGCCCCCTTTTCCTCAGACAAGTGAAAAGTCTCTGATTTTGATGTAAATTCTCCCAAACCACCAGTGCAAAGAACATGACACCCAGGGAAGTTTCTTCTTTTCCCGGGCCGGGATACAGCTAGACCCAGAAGGCTGTGCCTGAGCTCCCCAACACTTAGATCAGAACAAGTGGATGACAGATGTGTGGAGGTAGGCGAGAGGTGCCGGAGCACCTCTGCCAACGTCCCAAGGCCAGGACATGAAACCAGTCCCGATACTAACTGGGTCAAAGCGTTGGGCCTAGGGATCCGGGGCTGGGATGGTGGCCAGTTCCTACCGGCCTGGCGAGCCAGCCTCTGTCACACAGCCCTATGCTTGGCTTCCTCTTCGGATGCCGCAGCAGATGCCCTCTGGCTCGCGGGCAAAGGAGTGCTGCGCGGTGTCGATTACCTTTCCCGGCCTGAAAAACTGAGGTAGGCCCTTCTGTTTACCCAGAGACTCACGGGTAACCGAGAAGATCTTGAACCAGCGATTCTGAAAAGCCTCAGCCTCCAGACGCAAATTCAAAAAAGCTTTTCCTCTTTTTCCCGGAAGAGAAGGAATCCCAGCATGAACCTCTGCACGCTAATCTGGGTCGTAGTGCATTCTGGGAGTCGTAGTCGTTTTCCCGTCAAGGTTCCAACGCCTAATTTAAGAGGAGACACTAGACTCAGAGGTCTCTATGAATGAATTCCCAGGTTGGGTCCTAAGGCATTACACGAATCCACAATACCCAATATCTAGGGCCTGACTGAATAGCACTCTATTACATCATCAATCAAGGGCTTATAATGTTACAGCGTGCCAAACTCCTAACTATGGAGGGTGACAAAGACCTGTTCTTGCCTCAAGGTTACAAGATAACGCTATTTTGACCCCTGACTTTAAAAAATATGAAACAGCTCTTGGTACTTAAAAAATACAATATCAGAATTTAAAAAATCATATCAATAGAGAGCTGTAAGGTAACCCAAAAATTTCCTCAGAAAAGAGAACAAAAAAGACCCAGAGATGGAAAACAGGAGCTTCTTTGGGGAAGGTATCATGTGTCATTTATCTTGCATATTCTGTGCCTAGCACTGCATAGAGAAAACAATCTGCTTTCAATACTGCTTGTTCAACCCCAAGGTTGAATCATGTGTTGAACAAGGCTATATGTGTGTTATAATAAATGAAGAGTACTTTACCTGGAGTTATTTCATACATCAGTGGCTACTATTCTGCAAAAAAATCCACAGATGTTACGGAATCCAAAATTTTTCAACTGAAAGGTTGAAACAAATGAGCAGAGAAGATAGAAAGAAGTGAATGAAGTTAAAAAAAATGAAGTTCCATGAGGTCAGGATTTTTATCCGTTGTGTACACTATTGTACCTCCGACATCAAATAAAGTCTGGCACAGATTAGTCCCTCCGTCAATACTACGTTGTAAAATGAATTAAATGAATGGATGGAAGCTTGGATGGATGGATGAACAAAAGAACGAACGGGTGAATGACAGAACTGGCAGGGAGCACTACTGCTGGCAGGGCAGTAGGACACACACCTGCCACAGCAATGTGCAGAGTTAAAATCCCAGAGTCCAGAAGTGGCCGGATCCTCCATGAGTGGGTGGGGCTGGGGCGGCCGTTTCCCTCCGCCTCTCGGCCGGTCGGTGCAGCAGCTTCGCAGCGGCCGCCGCCGCCGCCGCCGCCGCCGCCGCCGCGTGCAAGGGCTTCTGGGAGCCCAGACTTGGGGGTCTGGAGTAAGGGGCGCAGGAGGCCGCCATCTTGAGTTGTGAGCCTGGTCTCTGTACTCATCGCTAGGGTCGGAGTGCTGACCCCACAGTTACCGCAGCAGCCGCCGCAGCCGCCGCAGCCGGGCACTGGGAAGTCAGGGCGCCGGCTAGTGCCACATTAATGGGTAAGTGGGAGTGACACACGCCGGGTGGGGTGAGCCTCGGGTTTGGTCCTTTCGGGGGCTACTAGTTCTTGAGGCCACTGTTTTTATCTCTTCCCCTACAAAGGGTTCAGGGCCGGGCCGGGTTCTCTCAGCTTCTCCAGAGGGAGACAGCGGTGGCGGGGGCGTGGCAGCCAGACCTTTCCCTTGAGGACGCGAAGGCGCAGGGAGCTCAGAGCCTCTCCGAGAGCCAGGCTGATGCTCAGGAGCTTTAGGCACAGGATCCTCAGGCACAGGATCCTCTCGCCGCTCTGCTCTGCTGTCTCTCGGTAGTTCTTTTTTTTTTTTTTTTTTTCGGTACATGATCTTATCAGACGTTGCCTGTCACTTCAGGGGCTCAGCAGTCTGTTCCGCAGCTCAGCTTGTTAGAAGTTCCTTCGTGTCCAGAATAAGGCAGGTTCGGTCCCAGGGGCCTGCGTGTCGCACCCTCCACTTCCAGCAGCTGCCGCCCACCTGGCCCAGATGCCTGGAAGGGCTCAGTCCTGACGCGGGCTGGCGCGGGTTAGATGCTTCTGCTAGCTCACTTCCACGGTGACAGTTTAATAGTGTCTCCTCACTAATGCCCAAGAGATGAAAGGAATTGAAAGCTGTGAGAAGGGGTAGTGCTGCTTCAAAAGAGTATGACACTGCTGGCATCTACTCTTCGTCTTTTTGAACGCTTTTTAAAAAAACCTTCTGATCTGATGTCTCTTAGTTACAGCATTCCATGATTTATATTTTATTTTAAAAGTGACTTTCTCTCATGGTAAACAGGAAATAGCTCTGTCCTTTAGATCTTAAAGTACTGCTTGTTTGCTTGTAGAGGCTCTGGTTGCTGCACTTTCCCCCTTTGTACTGATCTTGTCATTTTACTAACAGACACCCAAGCACATAGAAACGCAGGCTTTATGGAGACAAGAAATTCCGTTGATCTGTAATAGAAAAAGTTTAGATTCCAGTTGTTTGCCCAACCTCAGCATAGTTTTTTCAAAGAGCGGAGACAAAAATAAGCTTATGGCTGAAAAAAAAAAATTCCTCTGGCAACTTTATAGTGTTTGAATGGCATTTCGTATATTTGAAATAACTTGTATGAGACAGAAGCAGCCTTTGAAGTACAGTCTTTTAAGCTATATTCCAGAGAAAGAAAATCCCTTTGGGTGAGGTAGCTTTAAGAAAACCATTTTCCTTGAACTTTATACCCCCTTTAAAGCAACTGCAGTGAGGATGCAGATGTTAAATAAGAGACAAGAAGTTAGTTTTATAGAAGGCAAACGAACAAATGATATATGAGTTTCTGGGGCGAGATTTTATTTGATTAGCATTTATACTGAAAGATTTTAATTTGTCATCGCCTAGATTGATCGCCTTAGAAGTAGTGTCTGCTGTGTGTGTTGGGAGGTACAAGGTGATTCATTCGGATGTGGGGAGAGTGGCTCAGATGGTAAAGCGTCTGCCTA